TCTTTTCTTTTCTTTTCTTTTCTTTTCTTTTCTTTTCTTTTCTTTTCTTTTCTTTTCTTTCTTTCTTCTTTCTTTCTTTCTTTCTTTCTTTCTTTCTTTCTTTCTTTCTTTCTTTCTTTCTTTCTTTCTTTCTTTCTTTCTTTCTTTCTTCTTTCCTTCCTTCCTTCCTTCCTTCCTTCCTTCCTTCCTTCCTTCCTTCCTTCCTTCCTTCCTTCCTTCCTTCCTTTCTTTAAAGAAATATTTTATTGATTTTTTACAGAGAGGAAGGTAGAGGGACAGAGAGCTAGAAACATCAACCAGCTGCCTCCTGCACACTCCCTACTGGGAATGTGCCCGAAACCAATGTACATGTCCTTGACAAGAATCGAACCTGGGACCTTTCAGACCACGGACCGACGCTCTATCCACTGAGCCAAAACAGTTTCAGCTCCTTGTCCCTGTTTCAAAGCTTTTCTTCTTGGTGCAATAAGAATGCCTAAGAAAACTCCATGAAGCTGGCTACTTCTACCACCCTCAAAATGACTCTGCTCCTTTATAAATGTATCCTAACCCTGACATTATTCTTATGACCTTTAAGATTTCATCAGCACTGAAGGCAACTTAATTAACATGGGAAGCTCAGCACCTCAACTCATTTGATTTGCCTCCAAAGTCTGGGCCTGGTTATAATCTCTGGGTGGATGGTCTGGACACAAGGACATTTCAAGAAAATGGTGATGAGTAAACGTGAGGACATTTACACTCAGACTCTTACACAAAGAGGCAAGTGCTTGCCTCCATAATCTCTGAACATGAGAATAAGTATCTATAGGGCTCTTAGTGCTCAGGCCACGCCCAGCTGGTGGGCACAGAAATCCTGGGTGGGCTTGTCAGGTGTGGGCAGCTACCACTCTCTGTTTCAGAGGCTTGTCGAATGCAAATGTCCTTGCCCACCTCAGAATAAGAACCTCTGCTTTTGAGCCTGGAACTCTGTGTTTTATCACACCTGTGCACACATTAAGCTTTGAGAAGCATATGAAGGAGGCACTCTTGCTGACCCACGAATGGCTCAGGGAGGATTGTTTTTAAGATGAAGACGGGATTTAAAGGTTCTTAGAAGAGAAAAGCAAGGAAGACTGAAGAGAGAAGGTCAAAAGGCAAGGAGGAAGGGGACAGGAAGGAAGAGAGGGCGTGGTAGAAATCTAAAAAGCAACGTAATAAAATCGTATGCTTTGCAGGGCGCTAACCTTGGCATATCTTGGGGTTCCTCCTCTCCTCCATTCCTCTCCAACTCAGTCTGCAGGCTTATTTAAGGAGAGAGTGCTTTTAGGCACCTTCCTTTAAAACAGTTGCTAGTGGTGGCACTTAGAGATGATTGGCCACTGCCTTAGTTGGTCTGACAGCTGACATTATTGACCAACCTCATCCAGGCTAACACACCAATTGTAATTCCTAAGCTGGACACACTAGGACTGATAGGCCAGGATCTAATGGAGCCAGCAGCTGACTGTTCTGTGTGTCTAGTCATAAACCAGTACAGGATGCTGCAGATAATGAGTGATGGCACGCGCAATTCGGTACCACCATTTTCCTTGCCGGATAAATACAATTTCCCATCTCCTTTCTTCCTCCCTCCCCCGACCCAGTTGCACTGAGGACGTAAGCACTTCCTCACTCCTCATATATTTCCATTTGCACTTATGGGGCAGAGCGACAGCCTATGGATAGTAGTGTCACATCAGAGATGGGAAGAATTAGAAAATATGAGCTGGCAGCAGGCACCCACTGGACACCCACGGTCCACGGCCGGTCCACTTACTTTCATCAGCCCTCTCCTGAGTGGTTTTTGTTGATCTTGCTCTGCAGTTGCTTCTGGCCAAGCAGCCCCAACCGTGCCATTTATGCCAAATTCCAGTTTATTGTGCTGAGAACAAAACAGCTGCTCATTCTTTCTGCTCACCTAGAGGAGGGGTTGAGATGTGCTCAGAGGCAGGCGGGAACTGCAGACACCGGTGTAATAAAAAACAACCAAGAAGTGCCACTGGGTCCAAATTCCACTTAACCTAGGGCATTTACATGGGATTTTGTAATAACGGAGACTTGTAGGTTTTGATCGCTCTCTTCCACATGATGCCAGGAAAAATATGCTGCCTCGGCCAATTGCAAATCTCAATGGCTCTCAGCACACCTGGGCTATTATGAAAGGTTAGCTCACAAATGCTGCAGCAGCTATTGGCCCCAATTCCTAATTGATTCTCTCTTAAAAGAGAATAGGTGTATCTTTACCTTTTGTTTTTCTTTGTTTGCTTGTTGCTTTGTTCTCTTGACCCGCAAACAAATATTTAGTTCACGTGAACAATCAAGAAAAATAAAAAGGAAATTCAAGGTTATTGCTTTAAGAAACTACCTCTGCATTTTGAATCATTACTGATGTGTCCTGTTTTAGAAAGCTGATAGAAGCACCCAGATAAAATGATCCTTATTTAATAAACGCTGTCGGTTAATCTCAGAACGCCTGTCAACAGGCATATTGCTTTTACTTCACTTGCATAGAAACATGCAACTTCACTCCAACCCTTCATCAAGCAGCCAAAGCTAGAGTAGGGCAGAAACATCTAGAAAAGTCCTTCCCTCCAGGACAATCACCTGACCTGCTTGGTCATCACATCTGGATCACCTTAAGGGTGTTTGTGAACCAGCAGGAAATACATTTCTGGAGAAAGCCATGGACTTGAGGATGATTGCTATAGTATTTAATAATAAATGGTTTCCAGTTATAGAAAAATATTGAAATGTGACTTATACATATGAGGCTGATTCAAATTCGATAAACACAGCCCCAAAGGAAATTACTGGGCTTATTAAAAGCCTAGGAGGGCTGAACAGAATTGCAATCATCTTATCCTGGAGTCCTTGCTGGAGGTGGGGTAACTGCTCCCCAGTCCACCTTCCAGCCAACCAGAGAGGAAGGTCAGTAATAAGGAAAGAGCAGGGTTGGCCTTCCTCTAAACTAGACAGGCCGCTGTCAACAAAGCCAGTGGCGCTGGTGAAATCTGATGTGTTGATGACTGTTACATTACATCTAAAATCCCATTTACTAGTAATAGGAAAGTTCAGTGCAGAGTCTTGCCTTATGTCTCCCAGAACTTGATACGCATTGTGTGATATTACCAATTTTCGCTTCAGGCGTATTCATGTGCTACCACGAAGACTTCATAGGAATTTGCACATTTTATTCAGGCTGAAATTATGCCATTTTCATTGCAAATCAACTTATCTGTGGCAGCAAAATGATAGGTACTTTTGCTCCTAGAGAAATGCCTTTGTTTTCAAGATTTTTTGAAAAAATACAAAATGCTCTGTGTCTATGGGGATTGTGATCCTGTCATTCTAAGGAGAGGCTCAGCAGGTTAAGAATCCTGTTGGTTTTATGCTATATTTCATAATTGGGAGCTCATTCCTTAGCTTTGTTGTTTGAACCTTCTGTGTTTTTTTGTTTGTTTGTTTTTTGTTTGTTTGTTTTTAAAAAACAACAAAACAAAATGCTATCTTTTCCTTCTATGCACCACAAAGCTGTTCTCGAATGCCTTCACATCTCTAACATCCACTGTACGTAGAGAAAATGTCTGCAAAAGGGCAAATTGCTGAGGAGGTAACACGTGAAATTTCATCTCACCGTGCTCTGCTTTTAGCAGGGTTGGAGGCGGCAGCAATTTATTCACGCAGCCCCACTGACTTGAAGACAGGGAGTAAATACCGGGCCTTCTGCAGTGGTTACCCAGAGCCCCCTTCAGTGGAAATGATCTACTGCCTCCCTGCATCACATTAAAGTGGTGGATGGAGGAGTGAGCCCAGCTGAGCCATTCTGTACACACCTAGCCAGGTTGCAATTTATATTCAGACAGAGCTGCGAGTGGCTTTCAGAGGAAGAGAGTGAAAAAGAGCATTTCTCTGGAATGTTCCTCCCACACTGGAAACCAAACTCTGATTTGTCACTGCTATTTTTAAAAAATGATTCTTTCATCAACGCAGGAAGAAACTGACACCCGAGACACCCGAGAGTGCTAAGAATTTTCCTTGACCCTACTATTAAAAAAAAAAAAATCATTACATGATTTTTTCCTTAAGTTTGTGCATGTACTATCTCCCAGAGTTTCTCTATCGAGGACATAGCCCATGGCTTTTGGTTATTGAGCTTATGCCCACAATTATGCAGCTTCACTCTTGTGCACAACATCTAGCCGTGCTCTGTATAGTCCACCACTGTTCCTACAGCCCAAACCCAGGGGAAATAGGAGGAGGAAAAATTGACTCACGTGGCATTCAGTGGCTACCAGCCATTTCCTTTTCATTCAGTAAATACAGGATTTTAACATGGAGCCTTGGAAAATATGGTGGCTGAGCCAGAAAAATGTCTGGGTCAAATTTAATGGCAAGTGGTCAAAGAGTCTATTTTATTATTTAAGTATAAATATAACTTGACACCACTAAGTTATTTTTCAACAGTAACTAGTAGTCTTTTTTTCCTGGAAGAAAATATACTTAACATAGTTATTTTACTGGCATTACTTTGTCTAGTTCTGTTTCTTTCCAGGAATAGGTTTGAGGAATCAAATGCTGCTCTATGTAAAATGTGAAGGTAATAGCTTTTTAAAGAGACAGCATAAAATTAAAAAGGGTGGAGAGGGAGGGGTGGGAAGGAATTAGCCAGAGAACTTCTATGCATGCATGCATAAACCATGGACACAATAATGCAGCGAAGGCCTGTGGGAGAGGGTATGGAGGTGGAGGGTGTCAATGGGGAAAAAAGGGAACATCTGTAATATGTTCAACAAGAAAGATAAAATAAAGGGGGGGGGGGATGGCCCTGACTGGGTGGTTCAGTTGATTGTAATGTCATCTCTATACCAAAAGGTTATGCATTTGACTCCCGGTCAAATAATAACAACATCAAGGCAAGTATATCAGTACACATATATAGGCTACACAGGCAAAATACAGCACAAAATATGATGGCTTTGCTAGAAATTGAGTCGATGTACCAGAGACTGCAGCTTCTCAGGTGGAGACACCACGATGTCCGTGGCTTCAGGGCCCTGCTGCCTTCGGATTCTGGCATAATTGGCTCTGACCTCCACCAGTTGTTTTAACTCTGTTAAAGAAGTATTTTGAGAGGCAAGTCAAGGCATTTGTGGAAAATCATTAAAAGTCCAGGGTAATGAGACACTGAAGTTTCCTCAGAAATCCTTGACTCTTTTCAGGACTCTCACTACACACTCGACTGGCTTATCACATCAGATATGTGTTAACATTCTTGAGATTTCTACCGAATGGCAGTTGCTGGAGAGGGCTTCCTTCCAGGCATGTGATAAAGCCTGAATTGAAAGCTAACATGGGAGTTGTCTAAAAATTGAACCCACTGAGAAGGTGGTAAACACAGCAGTGAGAATCGTGTTCAGGTCTTATGACAAATGGCATAAAGCACTCTTTTAATTTGCCAGGGGTATGTATGAAAGAAGCCATTTGAATGGTATCTGCTTTGTTTTGCCAAAAACTCAATGTGATTTTTTGATGACTAACTTCCACGTGATAAATGCTTTTACATTATAGTACACAAAGTAAATATTATAAAGTATTTAGTTTAGAAACTCCTAGGCTGTTTTATTTTCTACTACACATAAGCCAAGAAGCCACAGAAAAACTGAGTGAAGTTATTAATTAAATATCCCTTCATAAGTATATAAATACTAGTAGCCTTTCTCTCTCTTTTAAAACATTCTGAATATTTAGATTTCTATAAATAATTATTTCTAACTTAATTCTTTCAGAAAAACAACAACAATGAGATGGCACTCATATAGTAAACTAAAGTGCAATTAAATTAAAAGCCTGTTATCAATCAGATTTTTTAGAACACATATCACTTACTGGAAAGAATTCAGACAATTGAAGAAAACCACTAACCATATGCAGGTACAATGGGGACCCACTTTCATAAAAAAGAATCAACATTCACATCACAGTAAACCACATGCTTACAGAATTGAAGATGCAAAAATGAACTTTGGTCCACACAACCTAGTCACAGGTTCACAGAGCCAATAGGGAGGGAAATGGTAGGGAGAGTGATATTTGCATTTCCAATTTTCTCTCTTCCCTTCACAGTTTTTATTGGTAATGAGCCTGCCTCTGGGAAAGCAGCCTACATTTCTCACTGTATTTTGGATACCCTTCGACTAGGTTGACTGCAGCATTTTAGCTTTATTTATCAGAGAGGTCCAATGAACACAGTGAGGCCAGGAGGCTGAGGTCCAGACGGCAGAAAGCCAACCCAAGAGTATGAAAGATTAAGCATACCAGTAAATAATGAATGGATTCGGTAAGTACCTCCTACTATTCAATTGTGTTGTAATCTTTCAAGCGTGTTCACATACTTAGATTGAAAACTCTTTCAGGAAAGGAACCCTGAAGGGTTTCTTTTATAGGCTATGCACTTTGGGAACACACAAAACTGTCAACTAATTCCAATGATAAGAGCCCCAATGATTGGCACGTTCTTCCAAGGAACCACATCAAGAGTGTCTGCAGGAGCTGGGGTGTTGGGTAATGGTGAGTGACAGGACAATGGAATACAAAGAATACAAGATTGGAGCCTCTTCCTTTATACAGGAAGGTGCTAGAGGAATAGTTGTAGCACTCCCCAAAAACAGTTCTGGTCATCCCAATAAATTCCTGTTTCTCTACTTTTTAGTCTTCATTCCTATGCTGTTGTCCCTTCTTGACTAAATGTAAAGAAATGATTATAACAGTATGGAAGGTTTTGGTTTATGTATCTTACATATAACATAGTAATAATCATCTTATGGTGACTTTTAAAAGAAACAATCTAGCTTTATTACTTTACAAAACCAGATAATTCACTTTCTAATCTTTTAATTTCTTTAGAGTGATAGCAATGCTCTTCAAAATTTCCTAAAAATGATGTCTTCGCTGATCTATGCTTTACTACCAAAAAGAGCTTTAAATTCCTCAGGATAAATAAGATAAAAGACAATAGTTGGCTTAAAAACAAATACATGCTTTTTTCCACTATTATTTATCAAAGAAAATTATCAGAAAACTGACAAAATGATAAAATAAGTATCTATTTATTTATTACTAAAGAAAGGATATATACCCAGCTGGCATGGCTTAGTGGTTGAGCATTGACCTATGAACCAGGAGGTCATGGTTTGATTCCAATTGGGACACACACCCAGGTTGCAGACTCAATCCCCAGTGTGAGCCATGCAGGAGGCAACTGATCAATGCTTCTTTCTCATCATTGATGCTTGTTTCTCTCTCTTTCCCCCTTTCCTTCCTCTCTGAAATCAATAAAAAAATCTATTTTTTTTAAAAAAGAAAGGAAATCTGTAAACCAAATACAGTTGTTACTCATCAAACACTAAGTTTTAAATAATTTGAAAAGTAGGAAGACAGTGGAGCCTCACTTTCCTGAGGGTTCATGCAAAGAAAATACCTTCAAATTAGTCTCTTTAGAATCCTTGCAAATAAGCCCCTTGGATAAGTCACAAGACTAACATAATTTTGATTTTTGTTTAACTTAGAATTCTTTAGAGCAAACAGTGTCATAAGTTTATACTTTTAACCTTAGTATCATGGGATATTAGCAGTATAGAGGAGGAGTTCTTGGAAGAAAATACTGAATGATTTAATTCTTTGGAAACTTGATGGAAAGAAACTGTCACCATACCTTTTTGGGTTACGAAGCCATGTCCTGTGGACACACAGATGACCATGTCTCGCTCTATTTGGTCCCAGGACAGAATCGGCTCTCCCCCGGGGGTGAACAGGGTGCTGGCTGGGCGGGCCATCTTCAGCCGAGCCGAGCAGTCATCCAGCAGCTGAAACACCAATGTACACACTTAGCATTGGAAGGTGGATTGTCACAACATAATTATTAAAGATTCAACTCTTTTAAGAAAACTAGTGTCCTGATTTGAACACTCCTTTTACTTATAATTGTTAGAAAGAGATATAAAAGGAGATGGGAGAAAGACATAAGAAGTTTACTCAAGTGCTTGAACAATGAGGAACATCAGGGCTACTGGAGAAGAATCCAGAATAAATTAAACTTGAACAATCATCAAAAAAGAAGAAAAATGTCCTGTCCCAAACAGGCTATGTCTTCAGATCAAATAGTTAAATGCAGGATAAGTCAAAGCTAGTAAGTCAAAGTTCATTTAAATGTTACTGGGTGAAATGTAAAAATTTCAGACATGGGGGAAAATTGAGTTATGTTTAGATCTGTTTTCTACAACAATGAATACCTAAGAAAATAAAGCAGAGTCTTTTGAAGTTTTTAGGGGAAAAGATTTTTAACATAAAATTGAAAGCTAAATTATTACTTTTGACTATAGGAAATAAAAGATATTCTCATATACACAAAAAGTCAAAACTATATTACATCATTTTAGATTAAGAGCTGAATGAGGTAAATTCCTTCACTATGGGGAAGTCATAATATAACATGACTAATATTAGGCAGTAAGACAATTAGAGCACAGTTCGACTTCTACAAAAATGGTCAGAAAAATAAACAAATTAAACATTTTAAAGCAAGTTTTCATAGATAAGTAAATATGTAAAACATCACCAAAAAGGGACATGGACAAGGAAAAAAAAGCTAAACAATTCTAATTAACAATTTACATATAAATGTGTTCATTGGAGTATGCTTTATAATAACAAAAATTTAAAAACAACTTAAATGGCAAACAATAGAAAACAGGATGAATAAATAACAATCCATCTATTTGACAGAACATAATGATACCATTGAAAACTGGATAAAACTGTATGTATAAAAGTCACAATTCTATAGAGGTTATGTTTCCCTCTAATCAGATAAATGAACATTATTTAAGAAAAACAGATGCCAACTGCAAAATATGAATTACATATATCACTATTTAATTTGGTTTTCACAAAGATCTGTCTACATGAGATAAATTCATTAAGTTTACAAAATTCTTTTAAAAATAAATTAAAAAAAAAAGTATTTTCAGCAAAATTAGATTCTAAAATATCTAGTCAGCGTATAACCTTTAATGTTGGTAATTTCTGGCATAACAAAAGCTCAGAACAAAGGAACAATGTTCTATGCATCATTTCTCTCCCACAATCTATTTTGTGAGTTTAATTACCCTAAACAGGTCTTCTCAGAGCAAGGACCACGGGCAACATTGAACTATTGCATATTCCCTGTGGGCAGGAGGTACTTGCCCCTACAAATCAAAGGGAGCTGCTTCTCTTTCCTTCAGCTTCCACTTATACATTGAGAACTGTCCCTAGCTGAGAGAGAACACACTGACTTTGAGATTCTGTAGAACAGGAGAGATGTTGCAGGAATGGGAGAAGATGAATGCTTCCGGTCGATAGAAGGAGGGGCCGGAGCAATCATAAATCAGAGAAAGATGCCGGCCCTGAAGAAAGAGCCAGTAATCCGGTGAGGAAGCCACCTTGGTGCATGGATGACAGATGAGCCTAGAGCAGTTGGAGATGAGAGCTGCTCTAGCAATGTTCAAAGAGCGGGTAGGAAGGATGTGGTTAAATCATTCAGAATGGCTACAGCAGTGAAACAAGTTGAGGAAGAGCCTGCATTAGACAGGATTCAAATACTGTCTAGGGGCTTCATTACAGAGTGTAGAGTGAAGCTCTTTGAAATGTGTCCTGTTCCTCATTCTTCTGGCAGAAGTGCCAACCACGGAAACTTCCAGCTTCTCTGGAATTGGTGACATTAGCCAGATTCCCCCAGGGAAATCTGAGCCCAACTCTTCCCATTGTGTATTTGTTTCACACACAAGTCCACTCTGAAGAAGTATTCTTGACAGCCTGATAGCCTGAGATGGCACATTTACAGCTGATCACAGAGAATATTAGGCAGGAGCCTAAAAATAAGAACAAAGGACATGGAAAAGGAAAGGAAAGGAATTAAGAAATAACTTAAAAATAAATAAATAAATAAATAAATAAATCAATCAATCAATCAATCAATCAATCAAAAGGCTGGGCCAGTGTGGCTCAGCAGTTGAGTGTTGACCCAGGAACCAAGAGGTCCCAGGATTGATTCCCAGTCAGGGCAAGTGCCAGTCTTCAGGCTTGATTCCCAGTAGGGGACATGTAGGAGGCAGAGAATCGATGATATTTCTCTCTCATTGATACTTCCATCTCTCTATCCCACATCCTTCCTCTCTAAAAATTCAATAAAAACATATTTAAAAAATAAAGCAAAATAAAAACAACATGCCAAAAACTTTTTAGGCGTCTCCTAAGTATCTTTCTATAGATGGAAGCCACATTGCTCCCCAAAACATTGCTCTCATGATATCATTTCCCTATTCAGAGACAACTAGCTCAAGCACTTCAGTTGGGGGTAGTGTAATGGACTGAATTGTGTCATCCTTCAAATTCATAGGTTGAATCCCTAACACACAATGTGACTATATTTGGAAAAAGGGCCTTTAAGCAGGTAAGTATGGTTAACTGAGGTCATTAGGGTGGGGCACTAATCCCATAGGACTGTGACCTTATGTGAAGAAGAAGAGATGCTAGAGCTTTTCCCTCCTCTTTATGCATGGAAGGGGTAAGGCTCTGCAAGAACACAGCAGGGAGAAGGTGACTGCAAGCCAGAAAGAGAGGCCTTGCCAAAATCCAACCCTGTGGGCACCCTGATCTCAGACTTCTCAGCCTCCAGAGCCCTGAGAAATAAATTTCTGTTTAATTCCTCCCACCCCCATCTGTGGTAGTATTTTGTTATGGCAATCCAAGTAGACTAATATAGATAGTACGTGTGATCCACTGTATGCTTTTAATTAATCACTCCAGTTGTATGTATCTCTCCCTACGTGTCAGTTCAAGGACTATATACCTAATATGATTTATGCATTCTAACACCCATATCTTTGTGTGTGGTACCCCTCATCCTTGTTACTACTTTTTCTGCCTAAGATACGGAATCTTGCCCATTTCTCAAGTTCCATCAACTGCTGATAATTTCTCTCGGAGCCTCTCCTTCACCTCAGATGGGCAGTGTTCCTTTCTCTGAACTAGTGAACCTCTACCTGCACTACTGATTGGCCATGTCACCTGCTGTTAGTACTTCTCCAAGAAGAATGCTAGCTCCCTTAGCAAACATATTTCTCTTACAAAGACAACCTATGCTCATCACAACAAAATATGAAACACATAGAAAAACACACAAGAAAGCAATACCAACTTTATTAGGTCACTAATAGTAAGACCATCCAGGAAATATTCCCCCAAATAAAATCCTCCCAGTCTGTTTTTCTAGAGATGTCCATGTATATATATATATATATATAAATATACAGAATTCAACTCCACATGCTGTAGATTTTACTTCTTTCACTTAGCATATCTTAAACATGTTTATTGTCATTATTCTTTCTAAAGTTGATTTTTAGTTATAATATTCCATCCTAAGTACTACAATTCATTTAACCAACTCTCTGTTTGTGAGTCTTTAAATTATTTCAAATCTATCTGTATTATAAATAACTGTGATAAATATTCTTACTAAACAGTTGAGAAAATGAGGTTAGGAGATGTGATTTGTCTGACCCAACAATCTAGAAATGTTAGCACTGGGATTCAAACCTCTTTTCACACTAGGTTTACCTCTGAAATGCTTTTGCCCCAGGCATAAGTGCCATCCTCAGGTCTGCATCCATTTAGATAAACCCAGACCCGTTTTGCTTTGGGTTGCTTATACAGGCTGCTCTGCGTGAGTGCTGTATGGTGAGTTGCAGTTGGAGAATTTCTCTTGGATTGCCGTTCTTGGATTTCATTAAGGTGTGCCTGTCAAGAAAAGCCCAGAGAATGCCATGTTTAGTGTGTGTGTGAAAAATGTGACGAAAGACAGGAATCTTGTGATTATTTACATGGAAAATTTTAGGAAGTGCATTACTCTCTCCTGTCCCTGAGTCTTTTGCAAATTTTCCTGCTTCAATGAATCATTGGAGACAATAATAATCATCGCAGTGATAATAACAAGGTACTCATTTTGGCAAAGCACTTCATTTTCATTTATAATCTCAAGTAATGAATGTGTTTTTGGACTTCTGCATGGTATTTCTCCTGTATAGAAATTTCTCTGCATCTAACTAATGAGTTTTTTATTAGAATTACAACATCACTTCCTTTAACCAGTAAATGCTTAAGGGAGTGTGCAGGAGTGTAGTTGAGTCCCTAATCTCTGTCTCTGCAAACACAGCAGCCACCCTTACATTTTGTCAGATCCCAGCCAGGAAGCTTTTCATCCCACTCCAAGCAGGTCCTGGTTCAGTGCTTTGCATTCATTCCCTGGTCAGTGATTTATCCTTGTTCACTTGGCAACAAGTCTTATAACTAGCAATGTGAATTTCTTTTTTCTAGTAACCTTGACTTGGGCACACACCTACCATCTGGATTGAATACACATTACGATTGGAGAAACATATTAAATAAGAACATATCATTTTAATGAAAACGTCACAAAGCAAAAAGTTTTCCCAGATCTCTATCCCCAATCCTCTCTCAATAGCTGACCTTTCTCTTCTCACCTTTTTCATGACTAGCCATCCTGACTGATTAAGCAATTGGGTTGAAACAGCTTTTTGAATTCCTCATTTCTGAATGTCTCCATAGCAATTAATATTTTGTTCCTTGCTTTTTTTTACACATTGAGACATACCCTTAGGAGTGATGAGCAATGAAGCCATAAGGTTCAACTTGAATACACTTATTATAATCACCTTTGCACATATCCACTGGGCCTTTTTTTCTTCTTGGCTAAGACCATAATTTCTGGTCTCCATTCAAACAAAACAGACTTCCCTATGAGCTGGTTGTCTTTTAGAGAGCTGCTCTCCAAATGCCAGTTCAAGGCTTGGCATATGCCTACAGGGTCATAACTGACCAGATGCTGAGAACATATTAATGGGCATACTTTTAAAATTTAATACTGTACTTTTGAAAGCGTATAATAGAGGCAGAGTCTTTAATGTCTTGAGTCCTAAAGAACATACCTCCGTATGTCTTATACATTCCTTGAGTTTAATTTCCTCTTGTGTCTGCTCGGTCCAGCCTCCTTCCACCACCACCGGCTGCACAGGGCTTTGGTTGGGAACCATGATGGCTGGCTGACATGCTGCTACTCGCCGCCCTGGGGAAAGAAGTCTCTGGAAATGTTGTTTCTGATGATGAGCTTTCAGATTTCAAATAAATTGGTTTGGCTTCCTATGCATAAATCATTCCACTTGGGAGCATAGGCTAAAACACTAAATATATCAGAAGAGCCAAGATGCCTAAGGCAATAATATATAACAATGCCTCTTCATTTGGGAGCTTGAGGTTTCAAACAACCAGGATACACATTCTTGCTGCACAGATGGAAAGGAGAGGTAACATCCTGACGTCCACACTGGCCCCAGCCTCTCATCAGGGCGATGGTTCAGCGGTAATTTAGTCAACTAGAATCCATGACCTAAATAGCCCATCATCTCTTCCAGTCATGGAACATATGTTTTGTTCTCGTCACTAATGATAAGCTTTTCCCCCACAATTAGCTTAGCAGCCTGGGGATTAAGTATTTCTAAAATAATATTAACCCAAGAGACAGGAGGCCTTTTTTTCTATCTAATAATACCTGTGAGCACGATTAGTTTCTGACACCTGTGCTGTGCCCCTTAGGCTGTGAAGAAGCTGTGGTAAGAGAAAATATTTATGGGAATATTGCATTCCAAAGAATCACAGGCATGATTTAATAAGTGTGGTGATGTGAATTTATGTATTTTTTCAACTAGACTACTTACAATTGTTAGTAAAGAAACTTAAAAGTCCTACTTATGATTTTTGTGTGTGTGTGTTTAAGAGATACTCAGCACTGAGTATCATGCTGATCTCTAAACTTAAGTAAAAATAACATATTTCTTGTATGGTCCTTCCAGAAACCAAGTTGGTCAGCAGCTATGGGTCCAGCATTGTGCTGGATGATGTAAATAAAAATATGTTCAAGATCAGGTCATTGCCTCAAAGGCCTACACTTTGGTGGGAAAGGCAGATGTCAAGGAGATGGTTACAACAATAATTGATTGTGACTGTGCTGCATCAGGGAAGTACAGGACCTATAAAGCCATTTAGCAGGGATCGCTAACCTTGTGTGAGGTCTCAGGGAAGGCTTTTTTGAGATAGTAACACTTAGGTGGGTATAATAATAAAAATACTAAAATAAAGTTGAGTATTAAGTATGTTGCCAAGAGACTCTTTAGCAACTCTTTTCAAAATGTGACTATGAAGAAACTTCGTTGAAAATAATTCTGAACTTGCAGAGAATAAAGCATTTGTACTTGTGTAGTTCAAGTTTGTGGAAATAGAGCCAGCAATAAAAATAAGTGGCAGCAATGACTTTTCATAGAAGTCAAAACTCTATGTACATAGCATTCTTATGCAATTTATAAATGTGGAGAAAACATTACTGAGTTAGTCAGCCAATGAGTTACACTGGCAGTACCATTACACAATGCTTGGAGAAGACACAATGGTAGCAGAAATATATGCAATAGAAATTAATGCACTAACCATAGTTTTTAGCCAACTCTATTCATAATGTGAAGAAAACATTAATTTATAACACAAATTCTTATGAATAATATTTCAATAAATATCTGATTTACTAGTATAATGTATTTGAACACTAGAATTTTGCTCAATTAATGAGAGTTCAGCAATAGTTTATCACTTGCACTGTTGAGAGCTAGGATTTGAACATAGGAAAGAACAAAAACCATTAAGCATTATTTTTTTTTTGTCAATGTGCTTCTAATGCTCTTAAGAAAATTAAGCTTGAATATACTTTCACTATAATTATCATAAAGAGACATAATGCTATCACAACAGGTTTTGGGAATGGTTTTCATAGCAAACTATTATTTATGTAGGAAGAATTTTGAAACCAAGCAAATGTATTGAATACATTATTTTTATTTTCTTATTACCATTTTCTATATATCCTATTTTATTTCACATGAGATCAAGGGAAAGTAATGATAATAGCCAACTATTACTGGGAAAGCTATAGGACATGAGTGCTTTGCTATTTTCAGACTATAAATCTCAAACCAAATTTCAGACTATAAAACCTACCCTGTTTCCCCAAAAATAAGACAGTGTCTTATATTAATTTTTTCTCTCAAAGTTGAGCTAGGTCTTATTTTCAGGGGATGTCTTATCTTTCCATGTGTTAGATCTTATTTTCGGAGGATGTCTTATTTTCGGGGAAACATGGTAGATAGCTTTTCCCATACCCCTTCCTAATGGGGAGTCCATCCCTGTTTCAGCATCATCTCTGCCTGAGACGGTCAGTCCACCTTATTTGGGGTTCCAGTTAGCAGCTCCATTTAGTTATCACACTAAACAAAAGGTTCTAGTATTGTCTTTATACATAACAATGGTGATACTTTACCATTCTTTACTTTTACTTATCAGCATTTAAGACCCCAGGTGGGAGCATGGCTGCCTTCTCCAGGAACCTCTATTCTAATATTTTCTGAGAATTTACTATGTGCTAAGCATGGTGTAAATAGCTGACATTTGTTTCTTAATCATAAAAGCTCTAAGAAGTTATTATTAGTATTATAATTAATATTGGCTACTGCAACTCATATTACAAATTAAATGTAAAATCAACTTAGCATAGCTCTTTGTATATAATATATGCTCAATAGACATTTGCTGCATTTACCAATGACTACAATAATAGGAAAGAATTGATTCAGCCACTCTTCATACTTCCTATACCTCCTCTTTCATCCAATCCTCAAGAAGTTCACAATCCATCAGGAACTGCAGTTAACTGAACTTAGATCTATTCTTATTTATCTGATCATCCCCAAACTAGAAAAGATGTTCCTCATAGTATTTTATAAATATGTATTGAATTTACATTTATTAGTAGAAACATAGTTTGTAAGAAGAGCCAAGATTTATCTTAGCATTAAATTCTAAGAGAAACTATATCAGTAGATTTTTCCACAATAGACATCATCTGACCAAATAGATTCTTCAACAGTGATATTATAAATTATGGCATCTGAATATTAAATGCCCTTTTAATACTTAATTATAATAAGAGCTGATGACTTGATATCAAGTCAGAATTCAGTCAAGGCAGTTCTGCCAGGTGCTATTTTCAGTATGCTGCTTGGTATTGATTTAACCTGGAACAGGAATAGAGCTGAAAAAAACTTGCTGGAGGGAATGGTTGAAATTCCATTCATTCTTTTATTCAATATTTCTAAAACTATTCAGAGAAAAAATAAGGAATGTATATAATTTATAATATAAGAGAGAAGATACAGTTACATGTTACATGACCGGGCAATTATACTAACGTGTCAGAGGGGAAGTTCAGAGTGTGGTAAGCCACATTGCCCCTGATTTAGAAAGAAATAACAAGTGAGCTGAAAAGTATAGAATGAGGAAGAGAGAAAAGTTTGAGGCAGAGGAGACTGAATTGTGCAAAAAGCTCAGAGTCAAAAGAAAATGGTACGTCTGGGAAATGGGGGGAGGGGGAGAAGCCCAAATAGGTGAGGTGGAGTGGAATTGTCAAGAAAAGAGAGAAGTTTACAGAGAACTAAACCATGAAGGGCCACATTAAGGAATTTCAACTTTGTCCTAAACATAATGGGAGCTTTGAAATGAGGAGTTTTATGCCTGGATGACCATGACACCTTTGCATTCTTACATGATTGCTCCAGCTCAAGAATATTAGCATAATGCATAGAATGGACACTATTGTCAAAACTGGAGGCAGCATCCAGCTGGTGTGAGTCAGTGGTTGAATGAATCACTGAAGTCATTCAGGAGGTCATGGTTTTATTCCCAGCCAGGGCACATATCTGAGTTAGGGGCCTGATCCCCAGTAAGGTGTGCAGGAGGCAGCTGATTGGTAAGTCTCTCTCATCATTGGTATTTCTCTCTCTCTCTCTCTCTCTCTCTCTCTCTCTCTCTCTCTCTCTCTCTCTCTCTCTCTCTCTCTCTTCCAGAATCAATAATAATAATAATAATCCTGGAGGCCGGGAGACCAGTTAGAAAATTATTCTAGTAATCCAAATAATGGGTTACAGAAGCTTTAACTTGGGTAATGATAGTGGAAATTAAGACTATTAGAATTCATTTGAGATAAACAATAGGTTCACAGCAATAAGGCTTACTGATATTTGCTTGGAGAAAATGAGAAAGATGCCCAGAATGACTCCCAGATTTCTGAGATGAAACACCTGGGTGGATGGTGGGAGTGTCCGCTATAAGAAGAAATGAAGGAGGAGCTGGTGTGGGGGTCATAGATAACTTTAGTTTTGGACATACCTATGGGACATTCAAGTGAAAATGTCTAGCAGAAGTAATAGATTCTTTTCACTTAGACCCAACAATTCTTTTTGTAAGGATGGAATAATAATCATTGAGTGCAGAGTTTTGTTTAGTGCACTTAGGACTAGTTGTGTTGTTGATTGAAATAGGATTCACATACTTTTAACACCCGATAGTGAGCATGCATACTCAGGAGTTGAAATCCTGCTATGGCAATTACAGAGTCTTTGTCTGAAATGTTTTCCTTCCCAGACTAAACCCCATAATGCACTGTTTCTCCCCAAAGAGCCATTTGGTATCTGAAGTGCTGGGTAAGGAACTTAAAATTCTGTGACAAATACATGTGGAGATCAATTGTGTATTGATCACTTTGTCTATGGATAGCATATCTTAGGTTGCATGACAAGAGGGAGCTGTTCTGAGATACTGACAATGATCTTTGAAGGATTTAATACTTCCTCACATTATTTAAAAAACTTCTTCCAAAGCAACACCTAAGGAATGACAGCAACTTTCGTTCAAGGATTTATTTTAAAGCCCATAAAATGTCATTGCAGGAATTGTTTCAAACCAATAGGGTGTTTATATGATCCAGACAACTCCCTAAAATTTTAAATGTATGTACAAATCATGTAACATTTATTTTAATATAAAATTTAAAAATATATAATCTGTACTGAAAATATATATTACTAGGTTTTAGACTAGCTCAAGTGACTGGTTACACTATATGTATACATATATAACTCAGTTAAACATCTGGTATCTAATAGTAAAAAGACTATTTAGAATTAAACATGGTGATACTTGATTCAATTCATACTGACCTTTTAACTGTCTCATTTTGTGTTTCATGGTGTCTAAGTCAGCCAAAATTTTGTCCTTTTTTTGCCAGTTATGTTTTTCTAATTTTTTTGCTTTCTGCAAAGCTAGAGTAATAAAAATACATGATATTTATTTTGCATTCTTTTACCAACAGTACTTTATCACGCAAGCCAATAATTTATAAAGAACTTTCTGCTCCAAGAAATAGATTCAATTAGAAAGAAGTAATTAAAAGGTAAGGGTCATTAAAAGAAACCTCATTTGAAAGATGACAGGGCTTAAGGCATTTCTTTATGGAATGCAGGGGGAGAAAGAGAAGAACAGTCCTGTTTTATTATATAGATTTACCATATGCAATAGCCATATTTCATTTTCCACTGCCACAAACTATTTGGAGGTGATGAAAGCCTGGCTTGGAACCACTCATTTTTTAAACATCCACCTACTGCCTAAAGGGTGCAATTCTTAAAAATGAAAATGTGCAGACAGGTCGTCTTCAATGTGAATTAAACTCATTTGTTATTTTCTAATGTATACCATTATTCTCAGTCTTCATAGACCAAGGATCTCTTTATCAACTAAATTAGACATTTTTCCATGTAGCATACTCCATTCCAGTAAGAAAAAACAGGCAATTGTGCAAATGCAGAAATATAGCTATCCTTGTGCACATGTTAATTGATAGATCTCTGTTTTTAGCATAAATGTGATGTTTTGCTGACATTATACACATTTAATTCAGTTTCTAATAAATTTATATCTCCTTCCTTTAATACACTTACTTGAAAGAAATAAAGAACAAAGAAAACCCCTTACCATTGGGAGATAAAAATGGTTCCCCACAAGATACCCAGATGGCAATCGGGTTTCTGTGAAGGAGGGTGAACAAAGACTCATCTATATCATCCAAACCATCGGATGTTGCAGATGTTGGAAATAATTTGTTTTTCACTTCCAGTCCTGAGTTTTCTGGGAAACAAATGACATTTTATCATTGTTCAATGAATAATGGATAAATCTGCTTACTGAATTAATTTGTTTATTCAAAATATTTCATTTTTCATTAATGACTTGATTTAAGTAGACAATACCAAAACTGATGCCAATATATAAATTTGATCAGAATTTCATAGAAGACAAATAATGTAAACTAATCTGATTATAATTATGCATTTTAATTCCTAGCTCTTAGGGTAATTTGAGGTGGCTTACCAACACATCTACTCTGTAAAGGGGTAACACAAAGAGATTGAAAAACTAAGGAAGGGGGAAAGGAGTATAGGAATAGACTACAGCCAGAGATAGTGTGCTGTAGTGTCCTCATATCATAAATGAACATAATGTCTATCTCATTCTGCTATTGGAATGATTAAAAGAAAAAAAAAAGGGAAGTACATAGAATAAATAGTGTTTGATCTATTTAATTGGGCAAGCATCCAAAAAATTCCAGCTATTTTTATTATTAAGTGGACATGAATACACCCTGTTTTTATTTGCTAAAGGTAAAGCACAATTTAGGCTCTGAGCATCCTAGTGGCCAAAGCAAAATGCAAAACACAATTTCAAGATTTGCAAAGCCCACAAAGAGAAAGAAATTCTTCAGAAGATATATATCTCCTTCTGGTCCTGAGGTCTGAGAGAAGCAATTCCATGGTTTTTATAAAGAAGTTATAATAGCAAATAATATCCTACAATAGAAATTAACATAGATTGAGACTTTAATATGTGCTGGGTATTTTACTAAGATAATCTAATATGTTCTGGGTATTCATAATTTTGAATATACATCTCATGTAATATTCAAAATGATGCTCTGAGGTAGGTTCATGCCTATTTTACAGAAAACGTTACTGAGATTTAGTCACATAACTAGGTGGGGGCAGAGACAGGATTAGAATCTAGGCCATCCACCGCCCCCAGAGCTTATGCCTTTAGCCACTATCTCCATTGTAAGCATGATGTTGAGTTTCTGACAGATGCCTCTTTCTCTCAAGTTCTTGAATTCAAAATGATGGCATAACACCAAACCGCAATTCAACACAGTGGGCAGCTGCTTATAGGCCTGCCTGGTTCAAGGATAACCTTTCTAATACAAAGGGGAAGAGATGGCCATGCCCTGCATGGAAACCAGGCTTTAAATAAAAGTTTTTAAAAAAAGAGTGTTTGAAAGTGTAATCTTCCAGAACCTGGAAATCAAATATTCTATGTGCTAAAACCATACCATTGTGAAATAATAGAAACTATATCATATACAGTTTGCTTCAAATCTTAGGGAGAAATTTGCATTGATCCAGCCCACTCTCCCAAGTGGTCTTCCAATTGGTTTGGGTTCTGAATTTAAAGCAAAAGCTGCTCAAGTTGCATAAAGTAGCCAAACTCTCAAACACATTTTATAAATTCCAGGCAATGTATATATTGTTTTAGCGACTGGGTGAATCACAATTTACTTTTTCCTGACCAAACAACAGAATCATCTCAGCCTCGTAGAATGTAACCAACCTTCTACACTTTTAATAGTTGTTTCCTTTGTTCCAACGGGGGCTGCCTCTTTCTTTTGTTCCTTAGGGTCTCTGTGGATAAATGACTTATCTAGAGCCCATAAAACCAGTTCACGCAGGGAAAGGATTGTGGTTCCATCTTTAGTATATACTTTGGAGGCTGCTCGGGCAAGACCAAGCTGTTCCGTGCATTCTGTAAGAAGCTAGATAACATAGACTGTAAGTGATGGGAGTAGAAATGGAATGTTGGGGAACCAGCCAGAATTGTAAGAAATATCCATCATGCTTTGTTAACCATGATTATTTTGTCCTGATTAAAAAGAAGGCACATTCTAACCTGGCTAGCAATTACACACCTGGAAATGCAGCCCATCTTCACCATTTGAAGCTGCCTATAATCATAGAAAGATTAACAAGTTCATTGCAGAAACCAGAATCACCAGAATCATCAGCTCTTTGAAGACCCCAGCCCTTGCCTATCACTAGCCCCTTGAAGATGTCCAGCCCTTTTGCATACCTGTGGGCCTTTGCAAATCTCCAGCCTGCTTATCTGTTAATTGCCCATTTGGCATACCAGTTGGCTATTTCCCCATTAATTTTTGTCCCTTTACCCAATATCAGCTGTGGCTTATGGTGGGGTGCAGAGCAGATTTTTGTGGATGACCTGCTGTTCTCCTATACTGCCGGCAGTATTGGAATAAATGCTCACAATGATCCAACCCTGTCTCTGCTTAATTAGCTCAAGTAGCAACAGGCAGCACGGACCCATTGTTTGTCCAGTTACTTACGGAACTGAGAGGAAACACTGATAGAACTGGGAATGATCATGAAGAGCTTGTTATCTGAGAAATCGAAGAAAGTCTTTTAATTTGAGAAAATAGAAAGCTGAAAAACTGCCTATTTGATCTTTGCTTAGAGACACTTTTTGATATTAGACTGTTCTACTTAATTTCAAACAGCAGAGTCCAATCTAGCTGTATGAAAAGTCATAGCTCCAAAAATTTAAAACAGTAGCTGATAGGTTTCCTTGGAGTATTTCCTTAAAAAATGCTTAACCTAGAAATCCACTTTCAATTTTGTTGCTTTATAAGGTATGATATTGCTGTAGTCATCTTGATAAACTATTTAAAATAAATGAGTACCTACTTGACCTTTAAACCAAAAGCTGACACATACAATTACTTCCGCTTTGCAGATGGGAAAACAGGCTAAAAGAATAATTTTGCCAAAGATCACAAAAGCCAGCTGCGGATGCCAGGATGAATCCTGGAGTTGGTAACTTTTTGTACTTGGCTTATTTCATTGAACAACAATATCTTAGTTTAAAAATTCTATTTGTATTCCACCAAAGAGGTGAGTTAACAAGGGTGCACATGTGTGAGTATTTGCAAGGAAGTCTCCAGAATAACTCCATGTCATATATAACATTACTTGTAAATTATGTCATTAAGGGTATTGACAAGATCATCCCCAAACATAGACAAAACTGGGTGTGGCCTTTGGGGATATCGTACTTTTCTGTTGACTATAACGACAGCCACTAAGACAGAAACCACACATGCCCTGTCAGTACAACTCCGGCTTCTCCAATTGGAAAATCAAATGAAACAAATTATTTAGAAACAAGTAAGTGCTCAGATTCGGCAGTGATAAAGGAGGTGGCATCTTCTAAAATATGCAGATGACATACAACTATTGGGAAGGAAGGCAGAAAAGGTATCTATCTCAAAAAATGGAGAAAATCTGGTAGCTTTGTTTTCCCTTTGCTTTTATGTATCATTGGTCTGGACCCAATCTAAAAACCATCTTCCGCTTTCTCATTTTCCTAAGAAATACAATCAAAAAGAAAATCTTTATGAAAACAGAGATCTTGATCTTATCAGCATAAATTGATGAAACTGGCCAGAGACATTTATCACTCAATTCCACTGCTGTTTTCTTGTCAGAAAAATCACCATTATCATTACTTCCGAGGATGCAGGAGGCAGTTAAGTGAGAGCCACTTACCATGGGGAATGTTTCAGCCACAATTAACTTCCCATTTCGATATCCATCTCCATTTTTGTATGCAATTATTTTCACTGGCTTCTGCAGTGAAGCTGCCGTACCAATAGGACCTACAACTTTTGTGCAAGTCTTCATCCGTAAAGATAATAGATGTTCTTCATAGTGACTTAGAGTTTTCTCAGCCTCAGAAGAAGATAAATCAGCCTGATTAAAAAAAAAAATCATAGGCCTAATCAAGCTTTTTTTTTTCCTTCTTCCCAGTTTTGTCATTCGGGTATATTCTAGTCTCTCAACTTGATAAATATGTGGGTGTACATATGTGTGGCATCTACATTTTGAAACACTCACTCCACATGCTACAGGTATTTATTGGATGCTTTAGTAGGATGGATATCAGGTCAGAACTCATTCTCTTCCCAGCTGCTGTTGAGTCTTGGGTGAGCTTGGGGCTCTGGCTTTCTCCTATCTTCTACTTTGCCTTCTTTTATGACAGCAGATGGGAAGGAAGCCAGGGCCTGAGAAAGTCTCGGGTTGAAGTAAGGGGGCTCCCATAGTACAGATGTTCTCCTAATCTTGAGCATTAGGATGATGCCCTTCTCTGGTGGCAGATACTGATGAACAAGGAGGGGATGAACGTGGCCTTTACCACATGGTAACGAGGGTGTGAACACCACACTTCACCTTTCCCTGTCCAGCCTTGCACTGGATGCTGCTCCCCCGGGAAAAGCACTGTCTGAGATGATGGGACCCTGGGCGGGCTTTCCAATCAGCTCACTGCCACCTCCTAAACACTACTCCACTCTCCCTCAAGCTGAGGCCAATGACTTCCCTAGAGGACTGACTTCCTTTCTCCTTCAGAGTTATTGTTTCAACTGATGTGTACATAACGGTTATTATCCCCTTCTCATTCCCTCCCCACAATGGGTACTGGGTTGAGGAGGGGAGAGGAGAGTGATCTGGGAATTGGCAGGAAGCCTGATGAGCACACCAGGCCGAAGGTTGCCCACCTCAGACAACGCTCCCTTTTCTACAGCGGCGTAAGTTCCCTCTTAGCTCTTCTCATGTCTACACTTGAAAGAAAGGCTTTTTAAATGGTGCCATTTTTAATTAAGATCACAGGAAAGTGGCAGAGGTTTTTCTCTCCATAAGCTATAAATAATATTAGACATGGATGTGTGAATTCAGGCTCCCCCAACATGAACAGTCATTGATAACGACATCAAATTCTCCCCGAAATGCTGTATCTTATAAAAAGGACTTTACCCCGTGGATATAAGCATAAAAGCTGCTCTACTAAGTGAAGATTCGCAATGATTTCCTCATCTAAAAGCAACACAGAGAGCAGGGGAAGGTGTCAGCAGATGATTAAAGCTGCAGAAGTGCCCAATTAACTTCAAAGAATGTATCGAACTATTAATAGACAATGTATTTTAAATGACAATGGGAAAAAGAGAATCAATGCAGGTGAAATGGTAAAGGTGCATCAGAGGAAGATGAAGGGGACGCTTGGAGATGAACTTGAGTGCAAGGCAGATAATGAGTGTATCCAAGTTTCAAAAGTGATGCCATGTAGGTAATAGCAGAGCCCAGATCCCTACACACCTCGGTCACACGGATGGTCTTGAAAGGCCCTTGTGAGAAGGGCCTCTGGGCCTGGGAGCCTGAGGCACAGCGGAACTGCAGCCCTGCAGGCAACCGCTGCAGTCCCTTCCCTGCTCTCAGGGATCGTCCACAGGCCAGGCACAGCGTCATTTTTTTCTTTCCGGAAGGTGAGAGATAATAGTATCCCTGAAAAGAGGGACAAAGGTGAATTTATATAGAAACACCTAAATTATAGCAGCATTTTTGTAGAACACTTTACAAATAAAGCTTTTTTTCTAATTGCCGAGTGAAATCACAACATGAATGCATTATTTTGCTCCCTAAAAACCATATATATTTTTAAAAATAACATTTCCAAACTCTGTTGACTAAAAATGCTCAGAGACAATAACAATTCAACATAATGTGCATAACTTTTGCCCAGGATCAGGGTTTCTGGAGAAATGGCTGAATGGCTACTTCCATATCTGGGGCAAGAAATACACAAAATGAGCAAGGGGTATCATGTGGTGCCCAGAAAGAAAAATCATCATGGAATCGTGTCAAAAACACACAGGAGCCAACATGAAGAGTATCTACAGCCCCAAAGTGGGAGAATTTGAAAGCAACAAAAAGAATGATAACCAAAACACAGAATATATTTGAATATCTAAAAATCCTATGAGTTCACAATGAAAAAGACAACAAAAAACCCTAACAAACAACAAAACCACAACTTATTGGAGTAAAGAAGCACCAATTTATAAATCTGATATTTGGCCCATTGACAATGTGGCTGATTATTTGCAATGATAGCCACAATAAAACTATCTGGACTAAAACCAACCAACCATAAAAAGAATTTTGTAGAAGAACCTGGAAAATATGATTAAGAACAGGCATTTGAGGAATTATTGTTAATGTTTTAGATGTGATAATGGCATAAAGATTATGTAAGAAAATGTTCAAATTTTTCAGAGGTGTATCCTTACATTTGAGGTGAAGTTATATCATGTCTGGAGGGTTGTAAATGTTTCTAAACCCTGATAAGAGTTGCATTTTGATAAGATACCTGAGAATTCATTGTCTCAACTTTGAATATGCATGAAAATTTCCATGATAACATTTTAAACTACCTTCACATAGACTCTCTAATTGACTTTGTTCCTCACAAGGTTGAAAGTTAAGTACAGTCAGATTTAGTATCACCACCCTCAATATACTAGTACATAAGATAAAATGAAAGTTCAGAGAGGAAAGTTTTCATACAAGGATACTTAAGTAGCACAGAGCAGAAATGAGATATAAAACTGTGACTTCTGATTCCAAGCTCTTGGCTGTTCTGCTTTTTCCATTCTGTTCAACTACTCCTTTAAGTACATAGAGCTATCTCAATTCAAAGTCAACATTGACATCATACTTTCAAATATGTCATTCTCAAATTTCAATATGAATTTCTCTATTAGCACATCTGATTTCCATTTTTTCTACAAGTTACTGGAAGGTGGAAAATTAAATATCCCCTTTCGTGTAGAAATGAATTAATATTACATACAGAAAGAATCATTTAGATAGAAAAGCATGGGGTTCATGATGAATTGTGTGCCAATTCATTCATTAGCAAGAATCTATAATAATAAAAGGGTAATATGCTAATTAGACCAGATGTTCTTCCGAATGATTTTCTGGATAAAGCCGAGCTTCAAGGGAAGCCTGGGTCTTGGGTGCCAGAGGAAAGCCAGTGTCAGCAGCTGGGGGAAGGAAGGCCTATTCTTGCATTAATTTCATGCATCAGGCCTCTAGTATTTCTATAAAGTGAAACTTCTCACCCAATATGTTGTTATCCTGAGGAAATGAAGGGGGGAAAAAAAAGCTTGATTCTTTATTTTCCACTTTTCAAAGTAATGAATTGGTTTCATAGCATCATTTAGTTGTGACCAATGAGTTGTTGCTACTGTTGCTTAATATCAGTATGGATTTAAATATATCTCATGTATATCAGTTCACTACACTAATTAGCATACTGATGCTTAAATGGTTCATCATTGGATAGTGGGAGCCTTTCCAAGTTGACTTGTTTCATTTTAAGTCTGACAGTGTATCTGCTAGCAGGTATGAGTTTGTAGACAAAATAGGAAGAGGTACAGGAGACAGCACAGTCAAAACCAGAGAGATGCAAAATGGCATGGTACATCTCTCATTCAGTGGAGCTAGAAAATGATAAGTGAAGAAGCAGCACTTACTGGTTGATCAATGTTTTCTTCTTTAACTACAGAGGATGTACAAATTCCAGCATAATTTGCGGCTGTGATTTCCTTATCCAGTGCAGTGCTGTGGAAGGCTATAAAAGTTTTCTTATTTTCAATGTAATTCCACTTTTGATTGGAAGTCCCATTGTTAAAGGGCTTATATTTCTAAAAAAAAAAAAAAAAAAAAGAAAAAGAAAGAAAGAAAGAAAAAAGAAAAGAAAGACAAAATCTGGAGTCAAATGGAAGTGTATATGATTTGGCTATGGCAGCCATAGTTTTCATTGCATAAATTCAGAAAGTACAGATAATTACTCATTTTGCTATGTAGTTGTAACTACATATTTGATTATTACATAACTACATATCTGATATTTGATTATTATAATCTCTCTCTCTCTCTCTCTCTCTATATATATATATATATATATATATATATATATATATATATATGTAAATAAATAAATAGAGGAATATGCAAACTATCCAGGACACCATCACCATGACCATTCACAGGGTGGATGGGACTCTGGGTCTAGTGAGATTTCGTCCTGCCCAGGAAGACTCCCCCACACCCCGCAGCCCAATAGTTTCCAGAAAGTTACTGTAGTTACAAGTCCACCAATAGTATAAGAAATGGCCTGTTTTTCTCACACTCTTGCCAAAACATCTTCAACTTAATACCTTGATGATATTTTAATTTACATTTCACTGGTCATCAAGAGGATTTTTTAAAATGTGAATACACTCAGCTTTGTATGTATTGGAAATAGCATACTTATTCAAATTATATAACTTGGTTCAGGCATAAGTAAAGAAATAAGTAATTTCGATTTAAGAGAAATTAAACCAGATTAGTTCAAACTAAACATATGACACCTGGAGGAACTTTATAATGAATAACACTTACTTTACCAAGGAGATATTGATAGTAAAGAGGAAAATAAATGAACCTTAAGAATTGATTTAATAGGTCAATTAATAGAGCATCTCTCAGAGGTACGAGAACAAAGACTATATTAGACTATATTTCAAGGAACAGGGAGGGGGAACCTAGTAAGATTAACCTAACATGCCTCATTGTTATTTATTTACTTGAACTTTAATATTTTCTCATAAACCGATTGCTTCAAGAAATAAAAATGAAACACCAGCAGCAATCACAAAAAATCTTGAAAGCTAATACAAATTATCTTGGCATCAAACTCATTTCTTATAAAATGGAAACCTTAAGGGAAACATCCATATCTATAATTTTATGAAACTGATTAAGGTACTAAATTTGCATCTGCATGAGGTTTTTATCTCGCTGGCTGTCAAAGAGGCACCTGATAGGGAAGAATGTGATTATATATATATACTGTGTCTCTTAGAACAAATTTTAAGCCCATATTTATCACCAGGATAGAAGATTTAATTAAGCTTTGATATTTGTCCAGATTGCTTTGTCTCAATTTTGGATTCATTGCTGTTAAAACCATGGGATAAAATAAATGTTACTTGGAGACAATAAAACTCTGTTCACCAAAAAGAAGGTAAAGATTGTGGAGGAATCAGAAAATAAATTCAGAGCAGAGAGGCTCCTCAACTTTCTCCCCTCCTACCAAGAAAAACACACATAAACACACATATTTATTTAGGAGTGTCTTTGATTACAAATAAGTGAGGACGACATACAAACATAAAAGGAAAGAGCTGCCCAGGTGTTTGCTTAAATGAAGCCAGACTTCTTTGGAGTCTCCAAATTTGCTGCTATAAATATCTGCAAAAAGTATGTTAAAAGTATAATTAGAATTAACACTGTTGAGCTCACATCCTTCAGGAAGAGCTTTCTGACCATGTTCTTTCACTCTAGTTGCCACTGAACTTAAAACGTGTGGTGCATCTAGCAGCCATTCATTCCACTGACTGTACCCACCACTGAGACCACAAGCCATGTGAATGCTGCTGGGACAATTGCTTGTGCTTGCCATTGGAATTGATTTAAGTAGAAAGCATAGCTCCTGACATACAGCAAGCCCACAACCACCATCTGTTGGATTAAACTAAATTAAGAGCTACATGAACATGTTCAATTTGAAATCTAAGCAGAAGGTTGTAAATATTTTAACAATAGCATTCAAGATAGGATTCTGTGACATTCAATTTCTTTCTCCACAACAAGGACGCATAGAGCTTTACTTGCATTTAACTAAATAAAGGGCCATGATTAATATATATATATATATATATATATGTCTTACCTGAAGAATAACTGGATAGCTGCAAGCTTTATTCCCCGTCTTGGCCATAGACACTGCCAGCACAAGCTCTGGGTTCCTCACCAGGTGAAAGGTCCTTGGGAAAACAGGATTAGGCACAAAGCAGCATGACCAGCTTAGAGCTCCCTCTGTGCCACTTATTAGTGTGTTACTTCTTGCCCCCATAACGGATGTGAATTCTGTTTTACATCCATTTTGCAGCAGGCATGATGTTAAGGGTTCTCACGGAAAGTGCTGGAAGGGCACTGCAGGAGGAAGGGGCTCCTCTTTCTGGCTGTGTATGGCATCCCTAATTGGGAGTGGGATATCCAGTGATGCTCTTCCCCAACCAGGTACCCAGAATGCATGGGCCTTCGGCACCTTCACAGCCCTGACCTGGCCTCCTGATCACCTGCTTGAGGCTCTCCTGACACAGATCCTGCATGCCCCAGGCCTTCTGCCACGCCAGCACCCCCACTCTCTTTATATGCCCATGTGCCTGGCAACCAGTTACACCCCCATTTATGTTCCAGAGGGCTGACTGTTGCTTGCTCAGCAGCCAAAGACAAGGTCTGGCCAGGCAAAGCAGCACCTTTCTTTACCATCCAGTGGGCTGCAACCATTCCTTTCCAATGGGTTTTGAACTCCAGCCTTGGGGAGGGGCCGAAGTCCAAGTCTGTTCTTTCTTGTATACTCTTCCTCATCATATAGAATGTGTATTTGTTTAAATACCCGATAATTACTCTTTCATCATTGTTTAAAAATAATTTATGTTAAACTTCTTCTGTTTAAATCACTGTATGTTTTCTGCCTCCAGATTTTACCCAGACTGCTATACTCTCCTCCCCCATTTAGTTGCTATGGGAGGGAGGCCGTGTATTGGCGTGGGAGCCACAATGCCTTAGTTTGAGTCCTGGGTCCACCTGTCAGTAGCTCTACAGCTCTGCTTAACAACTCTGCCTCAGTAGGCTCATCAGTAAAATGAGGTAATACCTGATCATATGATTATGGGAATTAAATGAGTTAATGCATATGAAATGCGCTGAATGTTGTCTGTTGCCTAATACTCATATTAGTGATTATTACTAATGGTTGTGATTTTTAAAAAAGATTTCCCTCATTTTTTTTTCTTCTAAAAGAGCTTTTGCCTAAAAATCCACGATATGTGGTGAATGTTTTTATGTAATCTTATTGGAGCTAACATAAGGCCCCCTCGATTGGAAAACAAAATGAAAAATATTGAGCTAAAACCTTCAAATTCTTTTCCTTGCATCACTTAAAAGCAAAAATAAACTGAACATTTTAGGCTCTTGTCTGTATGGAAAGAGCCAATTCTTTCCCTCTGTCAGCATAGTTACATTACAGACCAATAGCGGCACTCCTGCTGTGGAAAATACAACTCCTCCTGAACATAAAACTTAATGATGTGGGAGTAGAGAAGGGATCTATTATAAAAGTAATATATTTTTCAAGATTGAAAAAATTCCAGATATCTAATTTAAATCTCTGAACATAGAACCATATATTCTCGCTGTAAAAATATACGAAGTACTGAAGACTATAGTAAAATTATAACACAATTTTAAACATTACTCTGACTTCTATAAGATAATCACTATTAATCTTAAAATGTATTCCCTCCTTCTATTGTTAGTTAATGAAGTATCATTTTAAATCCAAAGTGGATATTCCTTTTTTTCAAATACCTTCTTAGCTTTTATGAAGATGGTGAACAAGGCAAGGGCCTTGCCTGATATCCTATATTCTCTTTTCTGCAGCCTCAGCATATTGAGGACTTTGCACCTTGCATTCTTATTGGCATTCAATAGTATGTGAACAAATGAATGAGTATATATTTCTGCAGTAACCTATTGCGATGCCAAGATTAGTTAGCTAGCTATCTCTGTGTTTTGCTGACTAGAATGACTAGAATAGATAGAGCAGCTTCCTCAGGCTTCAGTGCCCTGCTCAGCTATCGTGGAGTTGGTTTTTCTTTTTTTTCCTTTTTGAACAATGTAGCTAACTGGTGCTAGCCCACAGCAGGAATGCTTATATTCTGCAGGAAGCCTGAGCTTATAGACCTCTACACAAAACCTCCTGCATGCCAAAGAGCAAGGTGAGAAATTACTCTGTGTCCTAGCAATATCCAGCCCGATACCACTGTCTCTTCCATTAACCCATGCTAGGAACACATGCAAGTCATGTAATCTCCCTAGGCCTCAGTTTACCTAGTTTTGGAATCAAGTGACTAAGGCTAGAAAAGATTACTTTGAGCTCCATATTCAATGATGCTGAATTTCCCCCTCTCTAATCTTGAGTGTGATGAGGGAATTTTCATCCCTGAGGATTTCTTCATATTTTTTCATATTTCCCTTTAGAAACCAAATGATTAGCTCAGATTCCCCCATAGTTGAAAATGGGAGGAAGATGCCAGATTATCTCAAAAGTTGATCTGGACCTTCTGTGGGGCTGAAAACCAAGCTACTGAGACATCAGCAATTTCCTATGCCTTTCAGTGTCTCCTTGCTCACTTCTTGCCCTTCCAGCTGAAATGATGTGTTATCCCATCAAGGGCTGAATAAAAGGACTAAAAGTGGACAATTCTTGGCACAGTGATCCCCTTAGGACCTCCTATGATGTTGGCAGTGAGATACTCTGCCTGCGCTCTATTATTCCAAATCCTGAAAGGGCAGTTGCCTCCCTAAACGTAAACTTATTGCCTGGACAAAATAAGGAAGATCAAAAGACAGTGGGTGGTTCATATAAACGAATTTTCTACAGGTTCTGCTATACAGTGCAATCCAAGGTTCTCCAGGCCTCCTCCAGGTAATCAGAACTGACGGGTTTCAATACCCAATTAGGTGGGTGGGGGTGGGGTGGGGGGGGGCGGCAAACCCACACAGCCAGATGCCAAGGGCAAATGTGAAAGAAAGAATTACTGTCACTTGGCAGACACACTTGTGCCATAGGACCTATATTCCTCTAAATCGTGCCCACAATTAATCATCCAGACTTCTGTAAAACCTCTGTCCAAATGTTTGTGGAGTTTGTGCTCATGAGCAAATCCTGTTCCACAACCACTTCTCCTCACTCCACCTCTTCTGGAGTTTCCCACCAGAGATCAGTCAATACCATCATTTCCCACCAATGGCCCCTCTCTTCTATGGCTTGACATGGGGAGGCCTCCAAAAGACTAAGATGCAGAGTGTTTTGGAAAGTGGAAGGAGATTGGGAGAGGCTATTCTCTTTCATGTTACATGTGGCTGGCTACATTTTCCAAAGCAGGCAGATCATAGTCCAATGTTTTAGGCAAATTTCTCTCTTGTTTTCACTCGAATAGCCATGCCCTCCTCCTACTCTCTCTACAGCAATGAGGATGAAAAATGAAACCAGTGCCAGACACTCAGGAGGACCCAGAAACAGCCCTCTCTTCCAATGAACAAGTGTTTCTGAGTTAAACTCTTCATGCTTGGCTTTCTCTTCTCTTGGATCACATTTCCCATGTGTGTTCACCCCAGTTCCTCAGCCATGCTTGAATTCCAACTGACGCTCAAGCAGGACCTGTACTATAATACAAAAAGCCAAGTCTGCAAGATGCATTGCTGAATTCTAAAAACATAGAGATGGGTAGTACCAACTCTGTAGGGGCAGGGATATTTATTGTTTTGTTCTTAACCCTAAAACACTGCTCTGCGAACATTCTTTACAGCTGAATGAATGCATTCTGGTCTCATAAAGCAAGCCACTCACAGGGACAAACACCTGCTTCTTAGCTTCCCATTGCAAAGACAGCTTAGCTAGGCTAGGATGAATGGGGCCAAGGAAAACACTCACCAGGTCCATCTACATGTTGGCTTTTCAGCTTTCTGTAAAACAACCCCAGCAAGTCTCCCTTGCTGGCAGTTTTGCTCATCTCAGACAGTGAGCAGATGAAGGCTAGCTCCTTTCCTAGCACATGCTGGGCCCTCTGCTGCCCCCTGCTGAAGTTTATGCAATCTCTGTCAAAGCAGCAATTCCCAAGCCTTTTGCATCACACACCTTTTGAGAATCCAATGAAAATCACAGTTCCTTTCCAGAAAAAAACAACTGTATTGCAGAGATACACAAACACAAATTTTATATGGCACTTCAAAAGACTGAAGAGGCCCCTGGAGACCCACCATGAAACACTAATGGCAGAACCTGAAGCAAACCAATCTAAAAACCAAGGAGTTATTTTCTTTCTTGTTAAGGAAATGTTCAAACATGCACACAAAAAACAGAGAGAAATGTTGAAGAAACCACCATGGACCCAACAGTGAGCAACATTCTGCCACTCTTGTTTCATTCATTCCCTCCCAACTTTAAACATTTTTGCTTTTGCTGGAATATTTTAAAGTAAATCTGAGATAGCTCTTAATTTTATCTGATATATATATATATATATATATATATATATATATATATATTCATTTCAGTGATCTGGGTTTTCTTCCTTTTTTTTTTAAAATAACCATTATAATACCCAATACAATTAACAATACTTCCTTCATATTATTTGGTACCCAGACTGCTTTGACTTTCCTTTGATTGTCTTAGCAATAACTGTCTGATAGTGGTTGGCTTGAATATGGATCCAAACTAGAGTCACCCACCAGATTGGCTTAATATATTCGTATAGGTAAGAATTAGTTTTCACTGTGTCATATCAGTTGACTATTTGATGGAAGGACGAGAGGGAAGGCATGTATATGGGGAGCTGCAGGAGCCTGAGTTATGAAAAGCAAATTAAAAAAAATGAGGTCTTTTTGAATTCTTACTTTATTCCTTCAAATCATAAAAATAAAACTAGATGAGAGTCCAGTTTTCTCTTGACCTCAAAGGCCAGTTAAAACTATGAACCCAGTAGGTCAGATTTCATGTTTCTTCTCTGAATCAATAGCAAATAAGTTATGTTAAATAGAAAATCCAAAGCCCTCAAATATACATGAGCCTGCTCTGTGGGGACCATGCAAATCTCCCACTCACTTGTTGCTCTATTGACCCCTAAATATAATGCGTTCACCTGCTGCCTTCCTTGTGCATCCAGCGTTGATGACTGTCATTGGCTTTTTTCTCCACCAAAACCACCTCCATGCCTGAACGCAGGTCTGGACCTCGCACCCCCAGGACTAGCTGAGGAGCTGCATGGCTTATGATTTGCCCATCTTTGTATTCAAACTGCTGGTGGCAGAGCTTCTGCAATTTACTCCACTTTGGAGAATGGCTGAGATAAAGAAAATCCCATTATGTGCAGAAAAGTACCCCATGCCCTTGATGTACTGGAGATGGCAGGTTCTGTGGGCAGGAGACCTGCTGTGAACCAAATTCACTTACAATGGTGAGCCATTATCCTTGGGACAGCAGCGATGCTATTTGCACTACTACCCTGATGTACAAAGTAGAATTCTGAGTTTATTTAGTAACAGAAATAAATGTTTATCTGAGAGAATATAAGAAGCTAATCATAACAACAACAACAACAACAAAAACTATTCAGTTGAAGAGATAATTTAAAGTGGAAAAAGAAGTTAGAAAAAAGAAGGCATGTAGAATCAAAACAGAGAAAAATAAAGGAGTTCTGTTTAAACCATGAGTGTTTCTATCCTCTATCTAGACTCCTGGCAAATAGAACATTATTCTCCAAGTTTTTCAATTTTCCCTAACAATTCGTACTCATAACAACTCAATATAAAATAAAATAATAATATGCAAATAAGTTAATTTAAAGTAATCTCTTACTAAGACTCTTAAGGGATTAAGTAAGCTTATTAATCATACTAAGCATCACAATGCACCAGCAATTAAATTAATTTATAAACACCTATTAAAACTAATAGATGTTTATATTAATAGACTAATATAAACATATATTAGTTTATAGTGCATAGACTAATGCTAAATGTTTAAGTGCCAAGACTATTTAATACATATAACCTGCTATAATGTTAAGTAAATGTCTAAAGATGATAGATCGCTGTCATTTCATTGGGCACTGACCAGAAAGTAATAAAATTTAAAAAAGAAGTTGCATTTTACTAATTTCTTAAAGACATCAGGGCATCTTACATGTTAATACATAAGTTCATTCACATATTTATTCAACAAATATATAAGCTCTGTGCTAATTTCTCAGGAGGCAAAGATGGATGAGTTTTAACAGAAAAGACACACCAGTGAAAATAAATTGTATTATTTAGCTGAAGTGTAAAGGACCTTCCTTCCCATCAGTACTTGCAAATACTTCAGTTAAAAACACAAGGAAGACAAAAATGTATATGCTGATGTAAATAGCAGCTAACAGTAATACAAATCCTTAGGAATATTCTTGCCCCAAAGTGAGAAAAATCTAAGATCAGCTAGAAATTTCTACAAGGAATCCACTGAAACTTTTTACCTGTATTCTCTCTGTGGTTCCACATTTTCTAAGATCTCTTCCTGCATTTTCTTTGGAAAATGGTCGCCCTCGTCAGAGATATGAGAAGGTTTCTGCCACGCATATTTGAGAGGCGTGTGATGTGCCTTCATTCGGAGATGGGCTTTTGCATGTGAATCTCTATCGAGGTTCATAAACAAACACAAGTCTAAGAATTTGGATTCATACTCCCAGAATTTTCTCTGAGGTGCATTCTGATTGTACCCTGAAGGATACTGACAGTTCTGTAAATCAGATTTCCATAGTGATGCCTAACATTGCAAATCCATATCCTACTAATACATAATTTAGATATTTTAATATAAAATTGCAAATAAAATTCCTTTATCACGTAATGAACAGCATTCATCTTTGTTAGGTTTACTCAGAAAAAAATAGGCCATGTATTATATTTCAAAAATTATAAGACTAAGACTATTTAGTAGTTTAAGAAATCCCTAATAGACATGTATGGAGAATCCTTGTACCTATCCCTTAAGTGGGTCATATTTCTGTCTAAAACTGTACAGCTAGATTGTTGGGTTTCATAAAGTTTATTCATTAGACAACATTAACGGAATTGTAATTAACTTAACTTCTCCACTCAATAGAGGAATCTAGGGAGACTCAAATAGTCTTGGCACTAATAGTGCCAGATTCTAATAGAGAAAAATGTACTAAAACACTCAGAGTAAATAGTCATCATTGGAATAACTGTGCCCGCCTTCTGGCTTCTTAAGGTGAATAAGAGCATGGAAGCATAGCCACCACACAGATCTGTATAAACTGAGTGGCCAGAATATTATGATCTCTAAATGAATAATAATCTGGCCACTCAGTATATATTCTATATAATAAAAGGCTAATATGAAAATTGTCCCCTCGACCAGGAGTTCGACCAGCATGCAGGCTGGCCAACAGCCCATTTCCCTTTCCCTGGCCAGTCTGGCCAGACCCCACCCATGCATGAATTCATGCACCAAAATCTTCAGAAACAACTCCTGTGTTAGCAGAGCAGACCATACACTTTTCCAGTGTAACAAAAGTATGATATGTGGATATGAAATTGGTGAGTAATCACTATTCGGAACAGCAGCATAAGCTGCTTCTCAAATGAAAACTCTCAGTAACTGTTAAAAAACAACAGTGCCATCTTGTGTTGAAAATTAAACACACACACACACACACACACACACACACACACACACACACAAAACAGCTTTCCCAGGAACTCCATTTCTTTGAGAAAAAGAGGGAGGAAAATGTCACTTTTAGTTTTAACACATTTAGTAATGTGTAAACAATATTCTTCCTCCAAATCCAGATGTTTCATTTTTAACTTGGAATTTATCTATATGCTCTTGGGTTTCCAGACAAATGAAGTAGAATCAAGTCAATTTTAAAACGGTCATTTTCAAATTCATTTGGCTATATTAAATTCATTCATTTGTCTATCCATTCATTCATAAAACTAATTATTCATGTCTTTACTATTTATTGAACATTTACTATATGATAGCTAGAGAATTCTAAGTGTCAGAATACAGTGGTAAACAAAACATAATTTATCAGAATTCATGCAGTTTGCATTCTAGTGGAGAGCAGACAGATAAGTGAATAAATAAACAAGATAAGTGCCAGAAGTGGAATAAAACAGAATATTGTGATACAAGTTGGTTGGGGTGGGGTCTAGTTTAGGAATGGACTCAAAGAAGGCTCCTCTGAGAGAGGATGTTTGAGTTGAGACCTGGACAATGGGAAGGAGTCAGCCATGTGAGGATCTAGAGGGAGAGCATTCCAGGCAGAGAAAAGAACAAATGGAAAGTCTCTGAAGCAAGAATGTTTGTCTCATTTGAGAAACAGAGACACTGATGTGACAGATATGCAGTAAATAAGGGGAAAGGTAGTAGGAGAGGGAGCTTACCAGGAGGGCAGGGCCTGCCTGCAGTACAGCAAGGAAAAGGGAAGGTGACCCCACCCCCATCCCAGTGCCAGGGTCTGAAAGCCTTTTCTTCCAAAAGGCATCACAGCAGAGGCCAATGCTCCCACAGTTTCTCTTTCACTGTGCTTCCTACCATTTTTACCAGAAATCTTTGCACAGAACCCATCTATCAAAAGGGTTCCTTCCAGATTTATGGCCCAGTCCTTTCTTAAGCCATCCTATTTCCCAAATAGGTGAAAACTGCCAACCAAACATATCTAAGGACGTCTAGGGAAATCTTACAGTGACTTCCTAATGTAAGATGATTTAAAATCGACTCATTGAAAATAGTTCAAAGAACCATTGAAAGTTAGTCTGGAAAAAGATAACCCAGTGGGCTAATGATGGGGAGCTTTGAATATTTTAAGGACTCTTAAGTAGCAGAGGGATAGGGCATTGCATAGAAATATAGAAAAAAAATCATAGGATGGAGATGCTTTAAATAATTATTTCAGCATTAAAATGGGCTGCCTAGTGATCTCCCTGTTATTAGGAGTATTCAAGAAGACTGTATCAAAAGGGCCTGCCTGTAATATCCAGGAGAATTCTGGATTGTATTTTGAGTGGGCTCCATCACTTGTACCTCAAGGACTCCAAGTCTGCTGAAATCTATGAATCAGAGAACACTGTCAGTGTTTGTTCTCAAAAATGTTCTTTTTCTTAGTTTCTCTTCATTAGATAACTTAGCGGCCAGATGATACATATTTTAGAAGAAGACTGAAAGGGGCGCGGAAAGTTTGTGGTCAGTTCCCTAACCACTGAGTAATATGCCATGTAGGTCAAATCATTCTCTCTGACAAAGGTTTTTCTGATGTCTCTGTTGGCATAGGACATCGAACCAAATGACTCACTCATCAAAATCTAAAAGTTTGAACCCTAAAATAAAAGTTGATATTCTTATATTAAGGACAGAAACTGTTTTTAGACAGATTATAACAATTATATGTAAATTAATTTTCACAGTTACTGCAATGGCAATAGATTAACTATTTGTGGTTTTATCATTTATTTATTCAATAATGATTAAAATCAGTTTATCTTTCTCTTCACAAAAGACAGAGGTTTTGCCCTCAAGGAATTCCCAGGTTGGTAGTTGTTTGAGTGGTAAGGGGGTGGCGGAGGGTGTGTGGAATCTTTTATCTATGATCATTGCTATAATTTATTTCAATGATGAAAAATTATTCCATGGATAAAGACAGGGCAAGTCAAGGCACTTCAAGTGGAGAGAAGGGAATGTAGCTCAGAGCATGCCACGTGCAGGTGACAGCTTGTAGCTGCTGAGCTGGAGGGTGGAGTTCATGTGGCAGGAAGAAAAAAAGGTAGAGTGAGGCGGGCATGGGGGTGACAAGGATGTTCAATGATAGGCCTGGACTAGGGTCAGAAGGGCTCAGGACTCCAGACTAAACATTTTTTTTCCTGTCTACACAGATAGCCATTAAAGAATTGTACAAAAAGGATTGTGTTTTAGAAAAATAGTTATCCACAGATAGAACTTCAGGTGAATTGAAAGGAGATGATTGTGGAGATGAGTCCCATCGGAAAGCCATTTCAGAGTCCAGGATGGTAGCTGTACATTAACATGCCCCCAACTTGAAACTACATTAGGGAAGAAGCATACCTAAGGTCCACATTTATGGAAACAAAACATGATGGATCCTTCAATTAAATGTCTGCAATTCTAATATTCTAGTCTTTAAAAAATAGTGGCATTATGACAAAATAACTGAAAGAAGATCATTGTGATGGTAGACCAGTGAAGCTCCAGCACTATCCCTCTGCCAGGAAACCGATTCAATATGAGCTCTTCACCTGACATCCATTTCACACACTTGGCATGGGTTCCCTACTGGGCTCAGTGCTGTTATCAGGCTAATGAGCTGAGTTCAAATACTAAGCAGGCAGCTTTTCTGGCCACACTGATCACTTACAGAGTTTTACTGAGAGCACTTCCTGTTGTTAAAGCATTTTTTTGCATTTGCTCTTCCTCCGGCTCTATAATTTGCTTCTCTTCTCCAGAAGTTGCTACAGGCTTACACACAGCAAGCTTGGCTCCAGTCACAATGTCACTTTGGACTTCTAAAACAAGAGCTGAGCAGAAATGCACGCATTGGAAAGACAGGTTAATTATAATTGCAGAGAACTGGGAATTTGAAAGCACATGCTAAAATACAAATGCAGAAAATTTCTAGCTATTTGGTATAAATACATCCTAAGAGTAACTGATAATTGCTTTTTAGCAAATACATTGGATTGCTACTCAATTTAATTTTGTAGATTCTTTCCTCTAAAGATATTCTTAGTCAAAAACATTAACACTAAGTTTTTCCAAAAACAATGAAGTTGTTGTACGTTCTATTTTAATGGGCTACAATATATATATATATATATATATATATATATATATATATATATATATATATATATATATATATCTGTAGAGACCCAAACTCTTCAGTGAATGTCCCCAAGGCTTTGAAACACACATGCAAAACTTATGTACAGTGTTCAAGATATGCAAGAGGGTAATGTTTTTAATTATATTAATAATTTCCCCTTCTTGCCATTCTATATATAGAACCTTTGTCCTGGTGCCTGAGGTAGCTTTAAGGAATGAGGAAGACCAGGAGAAGATGAGAAATGCCACAAGAGGACAATGATTGTTTTGGCTTTCAAGAAGAGCATAAGTCAATGGCTGTGAAAGTCAGGATGATACTGTCTTGATTTAAGATCTTTCCAAATGCCTTTAGCTCCCATTTAGCATATCAAAAGTTTGACCTTTCCCAAGGTTGACCTGGAAGAAACAACTGTTTCTGGGCCTGAGGGGAGAAGAGTAAGAGGAGGAGGAAGGCAGAAACCCAGTATGAGGGATCATGTTCCCCTATAGGCTTCCTCCAGGCATCTGAGCTTCACCAAGGAAGTCCTGTGCACACTGCTTATTTTAGGGCACCATGGCAATTACCCTTGAAGCAGCCTTCAACAAGCCATTTAAATCTGAATATGGAAATGGTTTCTGGGAGGTGCAGCTGTGCCCCAGGACTTGCTGACAACCTACTGAGCTCTTTCCAGAAGAGGTTGCCCAATGAAGGTCAAGGGGTCTTGAAGCAAAGACTTACAGAGATGACTACCCAGCAACAACCAGGCTTCCAAAGGCCAGGGAACCAGAGGAGGGGCGGGGCAGGCAGGAAGTAGCATCCACCCAAAGCATTGTCTGAGCCAAAAGAATGGGACACCATCACCCAGCCAGCAGGGCTCAGAGAGCAAGAGGCTCTGCACCCCAAATACTTTCTTCTATCCTAGAAAGGAACTAAAGTGAGACTGGAACCTGGTATATCTGCAAGTCCCAGCCTGCCCTGAAGGGACTATTTAAAGTAATATATGGGATAAAATTTAAACCTGACTGAACAGTTGTCTTGTCCTTGGTAGGGGTGCATGAGGCTCACAAAGAAGACCAATGTGTTAAAGACAAAATGAGTGATGTTCTCTTTGCACAACCAAAGTGCAGTGCGAATGAAAATGTACAGCTCTGTTAAATACAAAAATTAGTCTAAAGTACTAAGCAGCAAGGTGCAGGAATGAAATACAATCTATATAAGCAAACTAATTTTTTTTTAAGAAAAGCACTATCATGAAGTATTTATTTTGGCTGTATACATTAAGGTAAATAACTCCAGTGCTTACCCTCTGTCTTACGTGTATTGCAGAAGGCTTGAATTTTAGAAATGTCAGATGCTAAATTCCTCAGGAAGAGTTGCTTCTTTTGATGAGCAATAGACAGGTCAGGATTGATCCAATGTTCCCCACATGAAACGTATACCTATCGAAGCAAAGAGCCTCTGATTCCATATGCAACTGCTCACAGCAGCATATGTGCAGTAGCCAAGACAGAAAACAATAAAAACTTCCTACAATAGGTGAGTAGTTAAACTGTGGCACCATGGAATAGTACTCAGCAATGAAAAAGGCCCAGGCTATTGATAAGGGTAACAACTTTGATGGATCTCAAGTTTTGTACATAAAAAGTACTTCATGCTATCTTTGCAACTTCTTGTGAATCTATAATTATTTCAAATAATTTAAATAATTTAAATATAAAATAATTTAAATATAAAAAGTGTTTTAAAGTAAGTTGAAAAGAAGGAGAAAAAGTAGAGAAGGAAGGCAGGGAAGAGGGAGAGTGGGATGGAAGGAGGAAAGGAGAGGAGGGGAGTAGGAGGGAGTAAATCAGAAATATGACTGAAACCCAAATCTGGTCTGTTGCCTGCTTTTAAATAAAGTTTTATTGGAACACAGCTATGCCCATTCATTTACATGCTGTCTGTGGCTGAATTTGTGATATAATCACAGAGTTTTAATAGAGACTATACAGTCTATAATATATACCATCTGACCCTTTACAGAAAAAGTTTAATGACCACTGATGTAAATGAATTTGCAGTTTATGCACCAAAATGTTCATAAATGTCCTTCCATAAATACATATTTCTTTGAAGTGAAAAAAGAAAGAGAGAGAGAGAGAGAGAACTATTTCTATATGTTGAGAAAGATTTAGTAAGAGAACAAGGGAGCCTGTTTTGAAGCCACTCATTGATCATCACTCACATATTCTGTATGAGGATTCAGGAAAACTCTCAAAATTTTCTTTTTGAACAACAGATTTCTTTTCCTTCTTATGGACATACCTAATCATGTAACTGTTCATTTTTAATCTTCACTTTGTACAGAGCAGTGACAGGTTCATTTCTAGCAAAAATACAGGATCTTATAACAATCACTCCTGACCCTCCTGCACGTACAGTTCCTTTGCCCTGGTGGCCTCATCTACTTGTCTTTAAATTAAATTTATCTTTCTTAACTAGCACAGTAACTGTAGCAAATTATATCTGTAGCATCAGAATTCAAAACAAGGCCTGCCAGTCTCCAAGAACAATGGACTCTTCCCTCTCATGCTGCCTCAGAGACTGGTCATCAATATTTCTGTTTGAGACTCTCTTGAAGGGTCTTCACATTCAGAGCCTGAACTGAGTTCTGATAATATGGCGAGAGCTTGGTTTTCTTTTCAAAGAATTTCAGGTATCAGCCAAGGCAAGTTTTCTTTTCAAATTTGAGCAAAGGCTGGGCTGCTAACGTCCCTCTCAGCCTTCTCCAGCCACCCAAATAGACTGTGCGAAAATCTAGATATAATTTTTTATTCTGAAAAGGTAATATTATCATTAAGTAATAAGTCATTAAACAACTACACTTTGAAGGCTCTCCCCACCCCCAAAAAGAGAGAATCTATTTCCTTTAGAATACAATAGAAACCACAAGCAGTAAATAATTTGGTCTTCTCCTTATTTACAAAATGAGAGCATCCATCTCAAAGGGTTGTGATGAGCTTCAGTGAATAAATTCATATATGACCCTGAAAATCATGCCTGACACATAGTAAGCTCTTGACAGATATTAGTGCTCATCTCTGATGGTTGGTGAGTTATGATAATTCTGAGGGGGAAAACAAGAGGAAAGAGGTTGAAGTCTTATATTTTAAAACATTTTAAATATTATTCACATATGAATATTTCCAGTTTCTCATTCATGTCTTTACCAGTTCATCTCTTTGAAGGTCTTTCACAGAAAATATTTCTTTCCCCTTTTCATTGAACAACCTCCGAGCTGCAGAAGGTAAATGTAAAATTTCAGTACACCTGCAATAAGAGACACAAAAATTGACCTTGCATACAGACAGCTTCCTGCAGAGAAGAGAGGCAATAAAAGGAATCAAGGGCCTGGATCCTTATTGACAACTCCCTCTGCAGTACGGTGTGTGTTGAGAGCCAGGCTCTGCAACTCATCAGACCCCTTGTGAGTCCCATTCTCCCTTTCCGAGTTGTGGGACATGGGCATTATTTAAATTCTCTAGGCCCAAACTACTTGCTTTCCAGGGTTGTTATGAGAGTGATCAGTTGATTTAAAAAAGTGATTAGTCTAGTGTTAATCATGATCAATAAACAGGTAAACATTGTTGACTTCTTATTTTTCAATATGCCTCAAATTTTCCCATTTTCTTGTTCTTCCTTCTACCTAAGTCACGTTCCTTAGCTTTTTCTGTTGAAGTCTACTCTTTTTCCAAAGCCTCCAAAGTCACATTTATTATCAAGTGATTCCTCATCTCCCTTCTCCAGAAGTGATCTCTATAGCCCTTTAACTTCTTTTGAAATATAATTTTTTTTTTGCTTGGTTAAAATTAAATAATGATCCCTCCTCTTCTCCCATACCCCACCCTCACACTCCTGCAAACAAGCACTGGGCCAGCCCTGTGGATATCAAGATAAATGATCAGCTTCCCTGTTCCCTGAGGAGTTCCCTCCCTAGTCAGGGGGAGAGACAGGTCAGCAACTGATGTGTAATATGAAGCAGTGGGTGCTGTAATGGGCATCTGGCCAGGATCCTGTGAGAACATAGAGGAAACAAGATGAATTTCTCCAGGGAGCCTTGTCTAAGGAAGCAACATTTGGGTTGGGCCTTGACAAATGAATAGGCATTCATCAAGGAGGGTTATGACCTAGAGAAGATAAGTTTTTTTTTTTTTTTTTTTTTTTTTTTTTTTATATCTGGAGCTGAGTATATGGACAGGAGGAAGAGCCAGATAAAGCTGAAAAAGAAAATAGGAACTAATTGAAAGCATTTAGGCTGCCAAATTAATAAACTTGGCCTCTATTCCATTAACAGCAGGAAGTCATTGAAGGCATCAGAGCAGAGGTGTGATGTCATCAGATCTGCTTTTTTAGGAAGTTATGTCTCAGAAAGGTGAAAGATGACTGGAGGCTGGAGAGGCTGGGATCTATATAGCCAGCTTAGGTTAGAGGTAAAGAGGCAGAATTGTGGGGAAGAGGGAGTAGAGTTAAAATCAATTCCTTTTACTCTTAATCCAATGGTCTTTCTAGTATTCCATGTTTCCACAACATTAGGTATCAACAAAAATATTATATATCAATTATTCTTAAATGGGCTGTTAGGCTATTAGATCTTTCTTAGGCTTTGTAGATAGAAGAACCACCACCACCAACAACAAAAGACTCTCAAAACTGTCTTGTATGAATCCTATATAATAAAAGCGTAATATGCAAATCAACCGAACGGCTGAATAGCGGAATGACCATCCAGAAGACTATCTGTATAACCATCAGGGACCATGCTATGACACCCCACTGGCACCAGAACAGCCAAGGTGGGTGTGATGTGATTGGTCAGGGACTGGCCATCGCCCCATGATCACCCCACAGAAGGAGGCCCAGGCCACCGACCGGAGGGCTGAGGCGGGTGAACACGGCCTCCCTCTGTGGAGGAAGCCTGGGTCCCAGGAGCCGGAGGGAAGCCAGTGCCGGCAGCTGGGGGAAGGAAGGCCTACTCTTGCACAAATTTTGTGCATCAGGCCTCTAGTTATTAAATAACTAAAGGATAGCATAAGTTCCCTTAAATTTAGTAAGATTGTCTCTTTGAATACAACAATACATATTTTGCAAAAAAGTTTAAGTGCTCAACCTTGAACAGTTATCAAGTTCTGTGGAAAAAATTTTTGCTTTGGTAGGAATATAATGACCAAAAGAAAATTACAACATTTCACAAATATGTTAGTGACATATAAAAATGGATTTAAATTAGCTAACTACCCTACACTCAATTCAAATATAAACCAAAGAAAAGTGCTGTAAAACTATGCAATATTTTTAAGTGGGTATAATTTATATTTACAGAGTTGATAGTTCAAAAGCTAGGGGAAATTGCCTTGAAATTTGGGGAAAATGTACGAATTTCCATTGGTATCATGAACCCATACAGTTAATGTATTTCTGTGTGTTAAAAATTCTAAAACTATTATTTAACAGCTGTTTTCTTATTAATATATAGGTACATACATATGTTGTGTTCTGTGTAACACATAACCATTTAGGCATGTGAATGGAAAATACCATTGCATTTAGGATGTAAGTGCTTACCTCTCCAAAAGTTGATGATATTCAGTCTGCTTTGTTTTGGTTTTAGAATATTTAGTGACATACTTTTTCACATTCTCTTTCATTTCAGAGCCAACATTTCTGAAAGAAATGATCCAAGATTTGATTGATGTGCCAATTATCTTTCAACTTATTTAAATATGTGAAAAAATCTTGAGGTTTAAATTTATCATAATTTGCCCTAAAATAATCTGCCTGTTTTTTGAAAAAATAGGGTTCCAAAAACTATCACAATTAAATATTAAGCTTCATGACATTTATGCTATGAGTAACTTATATAAGAAAATGAATTTTTAATATTTTAATCTTCTCTATTAATGCTGATCTCTTCAAGATGTGAATTTTTCAAGTTTAAAGAAAATGCAAAGATGACATTTATTTTTCCTGGGATATTTTATTCATATGTTGTGTATGTTCATATGTTTATTCATATATTCTAGGCAATCAATCCAAACCTAAAAATTGTTATACAGAAAAAGGATATTTAATTAGAAGATACATCTTTTTAAACTTTCAAGTTAGAAAACTATTTGGTGTATTTAAAAAATCTCCACATTTTAATAAATGAAAGAAATATTGGTCAAATATAGTTGTTTATTTATTCATTAAAATAGTAATCAAATATAATTAACCATTTATTTATTGATTAGGGCCTGTTGGGTTCCCTAAGCCATGTGGTGAATAAAGTGACTTAATAATCAACTGATCAGGACACACTGTTCCATAGCCATACCATAGCAGTGAGAACATAGATGGATGAATAGTGTATTATCCTGGTTTTCTATCTCCTGGATGGAGTCATAAGTGGATAATCATGGAGTAATAGGAGCTATTGGGGTGGAAAGCAAGGAAGTACATAGCTAACTCAGGGATGGGGAGGGAAGTGTGGAGTTCAGAGTCAACATCTAGCAATGAAGTACAAACTCGTTCTCAGAAGGCCTTTATTATTAAGGCAGATGGAAGATGTTGAGGAATGGAGGGGTTTTAAAAGTAGAAATTGGGGGGAATGCTGATAAGAGATGCAGCTAGAGAAATTAGCAGGGGTAGGTCATAAAGGACATAAAAGTTAACTAAGGAGCTTGAGTGAGTCCAGGATTATAACTTACTAATGACTTAACTGAAATTATCTAAAATATAAAATTTTACTTTATAAATTCAAATTGAGCCTTTCCTTTTACAATTCTTTAAAATATCACTTAAATTTTTTCTTTGTTTAACTTTGCTTATAGCTCTAAGAGATGTAATTCTCCTGTGACACAGAGATCACAAAGGTCTTGATTTATATAAATTTGACAACCATCATCAAGACTATCTGCCAACATTCTGTTACTCACTGAGATAACCGTCAACTACGAAAAGAACAAATGCTTCTTGATCTTCCTTAGGCTTTACAGATGGAGGAATCAACAAAAACAAGAACAAAGGCTCCTCAAACTGTCAAGAGTGAATTATTAAATAACCAAAGGAAACCATGTGATTGAAGCACATTTTGGTTAAAATGGATCTATATTTCATCTATAACCAGAGTTTGCTTTTAAAGACATGAAATAGCTCAACCCTCTATCTTCTTATGAGTAAGTTTCAGGATAAGGCAAGCAATTTGCCCCCATATGTCATCTGCACTGATTTATTTTGACTTGGATATATTAAAAGTAGCACAGCAAGGCTTCCACCTTGCACGACTCTGGGGTGCCATTCACATAAGAATACCATGAAAACAGTGTCCACTGGAGCTGGACAACACAGCCTCCCTATGATGCCAGCCAAATCTCTTTCCATTGAATCTCTCTGTTACCAGGACTTACATACAGCTCTGGGGGAAAATGCTATTGATGATCCTGTAGAAAACTTTCTGAATCAGCCAAGATAAATTAAACATATTTAGTAGAGTTTTAGAGTCAAGTATATGCTAGTGGATTTTAATTATTTGAGAATAAGTAATTCCTGCAGTGAACAAAATGGACATTTGATTACCAGGACACACTGTTCCATGAACAAGGACAGCAGAGAGTTTCACAGACTCTGCTAGAATAGCTGTCCAAATGAACAAATCTCTCAGATTATGTTTGCGTTACCTTATTGAATTACACATTTTAAAACATTAATGGGAAAAGACCAAATCTGTATACAATTTTGAGCCACAGTTAAAGAAGATATAGAATAAGAAAGAGAGAAATATAGGAAGAGACAAAAATTATTTAACTTTGCATGCTAAAAGAAAAACGTCATATCCTACTTTAAGGGCATTACCCTTACATTTTACATCTAGCAGAATGAACTAATTATGAAATGTATGCGTCAAAGATTTCAATTTCAGGCTTGACTTTACTTTGAAGATTAATTTTTTACTTTATCATCTTTACAAGGCAGTTCAGTGGACAGCCGATCTGAATATAACTCATTGTTCAGCGATGTATGAAGTATATTTAATCAATGTGAAGAAAGTTATATTAAACTATTATCAGCTGCCTCAACTATTCTAAACATCTCAAAAGAAAGGTCAAGAGGTAATATCACTGCTAATCATATGAGAAACAATGTGTTTAACTCATTCTTTATATCAGAGCTTTGTGCTGATCTATGATTCCTTTTGTATAAAATATAAAGAAAATCAGCAGGTGATTTTTCTCCAATGCTGGAGAAATATTGGCTATTTGGGAAAATTTTATTCAAATCTCATAACATCAGCTAACATACAGATCAATGTTTTTCAATGATGAACTTTTAAAATGTTATTCCAAGTCAAGGATATAAAATTATATAAAGTTATATTTTGAGAACCATATTTATTTGTTAAATATGCCAAAGCTATAAATGGAAAACAATTGTATATAATGATTTTAGTAAGGAATTGTAAAAATATATTTAAAAAGCAATTTCAAAAGAATTATTTCAAATTAATAAAATTAAAAAAATTAATTCAAAATAGATATTGATTTAAATTTTTCTAGAACTATTCATTTATAACTCATTATTTTATCCCATGCCTAGCCTAAATCAAAAGTTCAAGTGTTTCCTAACATAGAAACTAAATAAATCTGAATATCTATTTTCATCTCTAAATATCAAAATGAAAGCCTTTTAAAAAAAATAAACACAGAATTCTCTCAAAAAAAAAAACATCGGTAAGCAAGAGGACAAAAGTCTGTAGAAATTAGGAAGTGTACTTAATGAGAAAACTGAACAAGCTGTCCTTACTGCATTTTTCGCCCAGGTGATATGTCTGGACTCATTATAACAAGTGCTCTGTTTTTATTCTTGTCTCCATTCCGCAGAACTCTGAGTCTTATGGGCACATCCTGCTCTGATGACTTACAGATGGGTTTCTTCATGGAAGGACTATTTGGAATAAGCAGTCCTTCTATTGGCCAATCAAACTCCTTTAGAAAGAAATGACAAAAAATTGATAATAAATAAGAATTTAAGATATAAAGAAATATAACACAATTCTGATGCTTTTAATCTTTTATTCAAGTCTAATTAGTGTTTTGTGTGAATAAAGAGGAAGGAAAGTAATTTTTTAAGTGTATGTCAAATCTATGTTGTGCCACAACAAGGAAAATTTATTCCCTTTCAGAGAAACATCGTTCTAGTAAAATAGAACTGAATTAACTTGGAATGTTTTTGTTCATGTGTGAAATAACTTTAATATGAGGAAAGTTAGAATGTGTGAAAAGTAGTTTTATAACATAAAATAATATTATCTTAAACAAGACCCTTTTGGCAAAGAATATATTTGGGGAACACTCCAAAAAACATAGCGAGATGATAAAACCTAAATTACAGATGTTTCATTTGTAAAATTCAGTTAATTTGTATTCATTTATTCATATCTACATTTATTTATTAACTCATGCATTATCCAAATATTGTTTATTATAGTCCAGGTCCAGTGCTTCGACACTGGAAATAACTTGGAGAGTTATTATGCTGAGTGAAATAAGCCAGTCAGAAAAAGACAAGTATCACATGATCTCACTTGGAATCTAATGAACAAAATAGATCCACACACATAAAGGCATGGAATAGACTGGAATCTCAGAGTAGGGGGAGGAGGGGTGGGAAGAGATTAACCAAAGAACTTATATGCATATGTGCATAGCCAATGGACACAGACAATAGAGGAGTGAAGGCCTGGGGTGGGGTGGAGGTTGAATGCAAGGGGGAGTAGGAGACATCTGTAATAACATCAATAAAAAATAAACTTAAAATAAAATATTAACATTAAATAAACAACACTATGAACATGAAAGGATAATCTTCTAATGGGTGCTCAGAAACTTAGCTAGAAATAAGCTGGCAATTAAGTAGTGTAAGTGTAATAGCAAGAGGGTATTATGAGGTGTGGTGGGAACACATGGAGAAGAACCTAACTCAGAAATGCCCTGTGACAGACCTGAAGCCTCAGCAGGAGTCAGTGCAGTAAAGGAGGGTAAGATGATGGGCAGAGTATGTATCAGGTTGAGGATTAATAGAACACGATGTTTAGGGAAATAAAAGGAAGTAAGGATGGCTCCCAGGTTTGTAGCTTAGGCGACTTGGTATTGCCACTCACAGAAAGAGAGGTTTGCAGAGAAAGAGTAAACGAGGAAAGGGATGATCATAGGTGGTGTTAGACAAGGTCCAAGTCATTTATTTAAATCTGAACAAACAATTGTCCTGGCAGCAATTAAATCCCTATTAATCTGCAGTAACTATCCTATAAAATATCACAATTCCATATAAGTATGGATCTGTTTCTGTGTGTTTTACTCCCTTTGATCTTTTAAATTTATCTCTCCCAGTAAAATACTATGCTGCCTTAATTATATTTGATAAGTCTTGATATTTGGCAGGGCAAATACCCCCCCCTTGTTATTCTTCTTTGGAAATTGGTTCTTATTGACCTTTTGCTACTTCTCACATATTTAAGAATCAGTTTGGTTAGTCTTTAAAGTCTATTTGGGATATAAATACTCTGAAGCAGGGTAAGTAATTTCCAAAAGGGTTACAAAGAAGGGGTAAGTCATGCTGAACAGGCAAAATACTCAGATTTTTTTTTTTTTTGAGGAGGTCCTAGTGTCCAGGCTGTTTCCCACTGACAGTACCTGTGGGTTAGAGAGGTGTGCTGGCATGTCAGACCAATGCAGACCAAGGCATCTGTGTTTTTTGTTGTTGTTGTTGTTTTTGTTTTTTTATAAAAAGGGAGGTCGTTTTTTAAAAGACAGGGCAAAAAGTAATAATTTACTAAGATAATCCCTTGAAAATAATTTTTTAGGATCTCGCAGTTATACTGAACAATCACATAGCTCAGAAAAATGTGTTGTGAATATATTATAAAAAATATCTGAAGGTTGTGAAGATTAAATATTCTGAAACAGCATCTAATTAGAATGCTCTAATTTGTGAGATGAATAAGTAAATAACATTAATTGCATGCAATTAGGGGAAAAGCAGTATAAATAAATGTTAAAAACTCATGAGTAGAGTGCTTTTTCCTTTATATTTTTAATATAAATGTACATGTATTTATAATAGTAATATACAACGAGGCTAACTTATCACACTTCCAAGTAAATAAAATTTGAGTTAATGAAGTTTTAATGTACTCCTGACCTTCACGAGAACCTGTTGCCTGTATGGAAATTTAAATGCAAAGGGGCAAACAATGTTAGATATGTCTCTATTATTATGAATGGAGCAACAAGGGGTCACTTTTCCTTACTCGTGTTACTGAGAAGGAACACAAAAGGTTATGATAAACTCATTGTGTGTTTTTATTTGAAGGTTTTCTATTTTAGAAAGGTTATACTTAGCATGTGGGATGATGGAGGAGTGGCGTTATATACCTCTTCAAGAAATAAGTTCAGGATTGACCTGTAACTCTTCTACAACAAAGATATTAAGCAATTCTGAGCAAATCAACAGTTTAGACATGAAGCCAGGGTTGGATAGGTGGGAAAGAGAGAGGAAAACAGTCTCCTTACTAAAAACTGTTTCACAGAAGCCTTGGTATAAAGTCGTTAATATTTCCCCTCTCTTTTTTTTCTAAACCATTGGAAGGGAAAGGCAAGAGAAACAAGATCCTTTCTTATAACAAGTCTGTGAGAACAGTCAGTTCATAGAGTTAGGACAGTGGTCAGGAAACTCATTAGTCAACAGAGCCAAATATCAACAGTACAATGATAGAAATTTTTTTTGAGAGCCAAATTTTTTAAACTTAAACTTAAACTTCTAATGCCACTTCTTCAAAATAGACTCGCCCAGGCTGTGGTATTTTTTGGAAGAGTCATGCTCAAGAGGCCAAAAAGCTGCAGTTTGCCAACCACTAAGTTAGGATATAGAACTAATATATTTTTTTTCTATATCCCACTTATGCTATAATTCTGATGAACTTAACAGAAATGTGCCATCTCAGTTACTAGTTATTTGTAGGTCCTTTCACTGCCTAAACTTGTCTCAGGGCAAGTGGTAACCATGCCAACATTGGTTTCAGCTCCACTGGAGCATTGCTGACTTCAGATGGAGTCCTTTGTATTCCAGCCAGATGAAGGAAGCCTGAGATCTTCTCTTTTTAATAGAAGATATCACAGAAACCCAATGAAAAGATTGTGGGTTTCAAAATTTTCTAAATGTATGCCATCTCACTGATAGTTCTTTCTTTCAGCTCCCGTAAACAGTGTTCTAGTGTTTAGGGAAATTTTCCTTGGTCCTTCATAGAAATAGAGAAATATAGTGACAGGATAAGAAGGACAACAAGAAAACATAGATTATCCGGACTAGAGTGCTATTTCCTCACCCTCTGTCTTTTTCATCGGAGCTCATGTTCCCATTCATTTCTTAGTGGTTCTCTCTGTGTTCACACTACTGCAAGGCACAGTTGCATTGTCAGGAGCCTTGCTGAGCCGTGTGCTTCCTTAAGCGGGTAGCTCTGCCTTTTCTCTTTCCTCTCACTCTCATAACCAAAGGCCTCTTTGAATCCAGCTCTTAACCAATGATCTAAGTTCTTAGTCAAACTGGCTTTCATTCATCTATTTACTATTAATAAACAAATAGATTCCTTAATTTTCTCTCTTGGGCCTTTTCACATATCCTTTCTTACCCTTCATAATTAGAGTTAATGATCATAATCTCTTAACAGATTAATCAAATGTGTCTTTCAACTTTCTTTTTATAACATGTACTCCTCAAAAAGAATATATTTTAATTTAGTAATTTAAAAATTACCATGCAGTTACTCATTCCAAAGTATTAAGCTTCATCATACTTATTGTTTGTAATGGTTTCATTCTGGAATATGAAAATACATTACTCCTTACCTTTAAGTGGTTAGAAGTAGAACTTCTCAATTTATAACATTTCCCCCAAAAGGTGAGAAAATAACCCGAGTTCTTGGAAATTATTCCAGTGAACTTCATCACAGACTAAATCAAAATAATTCATTAATCTTGTTTTTAGGAGGTTTTGACATATTTAAAAAATACTGGTATCCTGAGACATATAATATGCTATTCACTCATAAAACAGTATCACTTGCCTTTTAGGATGATTAATAGTAAATCAAGAAGCATGAAATCAGTTCTCAGACCAGCTGTCACCACTGAGAGGCAAACAGTTTGGCATTAATGTAATCTGAGTTACTACAAAAATAATTCCCGTTGTCCATGCTTCCCTTGGTTTTTATTCTATTTTAATGGTTCTCATCCAGGAATGAACAGGAGAATTTGAGTCTCACTCAGGATAGTGTTTCTTAGATATTTTTCGTAGATTCCATATTTGGACTTAATTTTCAGGCCCATTCAATCAGCCTGGCTAGCTTTCCTCATAATGACCTTATAAATGAATGAACAAATAGCCTTGTTTCTGGGACACCAAACTTTTTATGTGAGTTTCTTATTTCTCCATTCTTTGACTTCTCTTCACAAACTCTGCCTTCTTTCCTTCTAATTCCTTTCTTTGTGGCACACAGCCTGTATTGTTTAAACTGTAAGCTCCGTGAAGGTAGAGGCTATGTCTACCTCCTTCCTTGCTCTACATGCTTTGCCTACATATATAATAAATAACGATTAGATAAGTGGTAAAGTTAGAATTTTAAACTTATAATAAAATTAATACATATATCTACAGTGATCAAAGTGTTCTGAATCCCATTATACGTATGTCACATTTTTAATTGCAGTTTACTTAAATGGAGAGTATTTTCCAAGCAAAATATTTATTGTATTTAATTTATACACTATAATAATAAAAGTATCTTTTTTGCTTAAGAAATAGACTATGTGGCAATAGAATTGAAGAAAATATGGTTTCTTCAGATAAGATAGATTCAGATTTTAAGTGAACTGGGTCCCATTTAATTTGAGTTTCCTGCTTGATAAGTATTTTCCTCTTTTTCTCAAATATTTCAAGATAACAGGACTCTTAGGCTGAGTCATTTTGGAAAACATGGTCAATTTGTATCACTTTAGTTGATTTAGTGCCTTAGTCCTTTCCCTTTAATTTATAAGTGAGGGCCAGCTTCTTATTCACTCTGCCCAAAAGCTGTTGTTCTCTTTGAATGGCTAGAGAACTCAAGAGTCCATTTTCATCCTTAAGATCATATAATTGTTAAATCCCAGGTTATTTGGCAAAATTGTATTTTTTAAAAAGTAGATGTTAAAAGGAACCTGGTTGACTTAGCTTTCCTAATATAATTACCACTCATCATTTAAATTCATTAACTAACTAAATTACTTGTATATTGAAATATATAGGCACAATATCTGTTACATTTGCAGTCATGATAACATTCTCTCTTCCGCTATGTAAGAAAGCATACTACCGCTGAGGCACCGCGGATCTCCCCCATCCCAATGAGTGGGTGGGAAAGTTGATAGTTCAATTAGAGATGTCACAGTTTCTGCCAAGTTGGAAAAGTCTTTGTTTGTTTGTTTATTTGCTTTGCACTTTTGGATACATATTCAATCAAACTGAACATGCAAACTTCTTACCAGGACTGTTGTTTCCTGTCCCAGATATATCTCTCCTTCTCCCTTCCTCACTATGGTTTCTGGGTATAGATGAAAGTTCAATAAACTGTATACCATTGAGGAAAGGGGTTCATGGTCTATATGTAGGTAGTTGTTCTGGATCCTTGGAGGCCCTTAATGATGTGCTCTTGTCCTCGTCAGCCTCTGGGCAACCTACTGGCACCTGCTCACCACCAGTGAGGAGCAAGTTATCCTTCCTGCTCCCTGGGTTTTAGCCTCTGCCCTTCCTGAACCTCTGAAGAAAAATGTATAATTAGCACATTTTTTCTTTCTTGGTCTAATGCTGGGTCCCTTGGTTTCTCTGTGCTACCCTTTTACCTCACCTCCACCCTGGCTCTCACTATTGCTGCAAACCTGAATCTTAGGCACAGAATTCGCCTTGCCCCTTGTTCAGGATACCCAACCCTTAGCTTCTGGCATTTTGAAGAATTCCCTTCTCTTTCAACAAAATGCAGCTTTCTAGACTGTTGCTTTACTGCAGTCCAAATATGTAGATGTCTTTGGGGCCCTAAGCAATGCCTTCTTGGTTTCAGACCCCATCAGTCCTTCCCCTAAAAAATTGACACTCATTGATTACATAGAAAATTGTGATTTTGCAGTAAAGAAAAAACAAAACAAAACAAAAAACAACTTGGTTGAACCAGAAAATATGACAGCAACTAAGAAAAATTAGGAGAGAATACTTTAAAATAATCTTTTAGAACATATCATTGATCTAGCGGTAAAGCAAGACATATTAGGGACCCAGAGAGGTAAGCAGAACGCTGAAGCTGGATTTTATCTTGAGGGAATTTTCCAAACTCCAGTGAACTTCCACTTTCATGGTCTCGCATGGGGAAGGGCACAGGAGAGGATTTCCAGGGCACTGAAGGGTGGAAAGTCTAACAGGAGAACCTCAGGTATGTTATGATGAAACTAAGTATTGAAGAAAAGGGAAGGCTTTAAAAGCTGTCAGGAATAATATTTAGAGTGACAGCTGACTCCTCAATAACAACAGAGGGAGGTAGAAGTCAGTAGTGATATCTTCAGTTTGCTAAGTGGAGAAACCTTTCATGGATGAGGACAAAATAAAGACATCTTACAGATGAGTAGAAATGAAGTTTGCTACAATAACTAAAAGAAGGATATGCTAAGGAAAAGGAAAGTAACCAAGGTTGGAAGGACCAAGATGTAAGAGGAATTTATAAGGAGAAAGAACAACACTTTGAGGTAAATCTAAGTAAATATTATCTACATACAATAATGTTAATATCTTATGGAAAATTTTAAGAATATAAAAATAAAATAGCATATAAGTTACAAATCAAATCACTGACATTAAAATATCATAATGCTCTCAATTATTTGAGAGAAAAGTAAATATATTTGTTAAGTTTAGATTTTTGATGATCTATATATGCAAGTCAAAATGCTCAGCGTAATAAAATAAAGAATAGAAATAGATGATATAATTTCCAAACTAGTAGATGAGAGAAAAATATAAGAAAAAAAATCAAAAAATAAGAATGGAGAAAAAATAACACAGGGAAAAAACCCCCAGAACAAGTAAAAAGCAAAAAATAATCTAAATATATCTGTCATTGCAATAAATAGAAAAGATCAGCCCGGCTGACGTGGCTCAGTGGTTGGGTGTCAACCTACGAACTAGGAGGTCACAGTTTGGTTCCCGGTCAGGGCACATACCCGGTTGCGAGCTCAGGGGTGTGTTTCTAGCTCCCTCTCCCTCTCCCTGCCTCTCTGAAATAAAAATATTTAATAATAATAATAATAATAATAATAATAATAATAATAAATAGACCAAGTCCTTATGTAGAGATAAAGACTGTCAGGCCATTTAAAAAAATGAACTATATGGTGATTATTGGAGACCCCTAAATATAAAAATATACAAATAAGATATACTAGGCAAATAAAAAAAAAACCCTGAAGTATTTCTAATAGTATTAGAAAATTGAGACTTTCACTAGGGGTCAAGAGAATCTACCTGATGATAAAATAGCAATTCTCCATAGAAATACAATACTTCTGAACATGTGTGTTTCTAAATATCAGAATGCATAAAGTAAAAATATAACTAATACAAGAAAAATAGATAAATTTATCTCCATAATGGACAACTTAAATGCAAATTACCAACTGATAGAACAACAGAATGAAGTGATCTTTTGCATCTAACAACTACGCATCAAAAATTTATATGGGAATCGTTATAACATTGACTGGGCCTTAAAACTTAAGTCTCAACAACCACATCTTCTACTAAAATACAACCTCGTTAAGTTGGCCGCTGGGAAGGACTGGCCAAATGTAGGTAAGCTTATTCCAGAGAGGATTTTCAACTTTGGAATGTTTCCACTGGCCTGGCTTACTGGTGCCTGCATGTTTTATGGCCCACCTAAAAGGAAATAAAAGATAAGAGTTGTATAGCAAGGTTAACTATCACTTCAAAATATTTATTGAGTACTATTATGAACTAGGTAAACAATTCAAGATCCAAAACTGATAGTTTATTATGTACAAGAGACACAAATAAAAGTAATATTAAAAAATAAACGTTTAAAAATTAAGAAAAATTGGTAGTCATAATTGAAAGTGGAATTTGAGACAAAGGCAAATTAGATAGAATAACAAAGTCATTTTATAATTACTATATCATAAATAACAATACTGAATAGAAAAAATCAAGCAAAACTTTTTAGACATTCAAAGAGAAACCAACATAGACAACATATTATAATCTACTAGGCAAATATTTTTAAGGTGACGAATAAGGATATAAAATATCTGATTGTTATAATTAATAAATGCATAGCTATTTTTACATATATTGTAGCCTATAAAAGAAAATGTCTTTCTTAACAATTCTTAGAACACTTGTAATATTTGCCACTAACAGAGTAAATTTTAATACAGTTTTAAAATGAAAATTGATTAAGCCACTCTTTGTGGCAAATCCTATATAATAAAGAGGTAATATGAAAATTGATCATCATGTCCTCACAAGATGGCTGCCTATAACTAGGCTGGCAGGGGGGTTGGTGAGGGATGACCAAATGACTGAACAGCAGGTTGCATGGGGCAACCAGACTGGCTGAGGGGCCGTGAGGGGCAACCAAGCTGGCAAGGGGAGCAGTTGGGAGCAACCCCAGGCCAACAGGGGGGCAGTAGGGGGTACCAGGCTGGTGCGGGGGCAGTTGGTGGGAACCAGGCCAGCGGGGGGGGCAGTTGGGAGTGATTAGGCTGGCAGGAGGGGCAATGAGGGGTGACTAGGCTGGCGTGTGGGGCAGTCATGGGTGACCAGGCTAGCAGGGAGGAAGCAATTGGTGGCTACCTGGCCAGGAGTGGGGGGCAGTTAGGGGTGATCAGGCTAGCACATAGAGACATAGAGGCAGTGAGGGGCAATCAAGTGGGCAGGCAGGTGAGCAATTAGGAGCCAGCAGTCTCAGAATGGAGAGGGTGCAGGCTGGGCTGAGGGGACCCACCCCCCCCATGCATGAATTTCGTGCACTGGGCCTCTAGTGATAGAATAAAATTAGTTATAAAGAAAGGTACAAATTTTAATCACCAGATAATTTAAAAAACACATTCTCCCTCAGGTAGGGGGAAAAATCACAATCATCAATACCTGTTTAGAAGCAACAAAAATAACAGTCATGAAAACTTAAAAGATATATCTAGAATTATAGTCAAAAGTTAATCATAATGTTAAATGTTTATTTATTAAGAACTAGAGAAGGGAAATTAATAAAGCATTTAATTGGATTTATTTTAAATCTATATGATTATCCCATGGAAGAGATGAAAAGAAATAATATTTAAATAGAAATAAATCATTTAGAAAGTAGGATAGCAGAAAACTGATACAGAAATGTTGTTGAAATAAATAAAACAGCAAATCTTTTGCATATAAGTTTAGATGAAAAATATATAATACAAACCAAATAGAAAAATTGGGCTAATCTTTGATAAATTAATATTAAAAAAACACACAAAACAACTCATAGATTTTAAATAAAAAACAGAAAACATGTTCTTGCTCACATAACTTTATAGGTGATGAAACATTATTTGCATGCTATATAAAATATTCCAGACCATAAAATACAAAAACCTAGCTAATTCATTTCATGAATGGGGAGATAGGCTTCACTATAAAGCCAGTTACTGGTAATTTAAGAAGTAGCACAGCAATCTTATTTAAAATTAAAGATGTAAAATTTCTGACTCAATGTTAGCCAATAAAATTTAACATTATGTGAAGACAATAATCACTATAATTCAAACATAAAATGATGGACATTTATTAATGTAATAAATCACTGAGCAATGAATGAGAATACAGGAGCAGTCCATCACCCATATTTCCCCATATGATGGGCCTGAAAAGTTCTCTGAGCTAGCTCAGCCTCATCAGAACCATCTGCAGTGTTCAAACTCATGTTCAAGGGCCCAGGTTTCCCATAAACTTGCTGAAAATTCTGGGGGCCTCTACATCAAGAGATGGTGGTGGCAGGAAAGACCTGCTCTTTAACAACATAGAACCTGACTCCTATGACTGCAAAGCCATCTGTGCTCTAAGGCCAACACTTCTGTTTGTACCTTGATCCATGTCCTCTCTCCTTTAGAAGTATTGCATTTCTCTCTCTTCATTTGTATTATGTCTGATACAGCTTTATATCTTACAAACAACCAAACAAAAACCCCATTCTCTATACCCCACCTCTACCTCCAGTTATTGTCTTATTTCTTTGTGTCTCTTTACAGTAAATTTTTTAAAAGACTCATCTCCTTTCCTGGTCCTCCCTTTTCCCCATCAACCAATTTGAGTTAGATTTTCATCTCTGAAACTCCGTGAAACTGAGTCATCAGGTTTTCACATTACCAACATCAAAGGTCATTTCTCCAGACTGAACTAACAGCAGTGTGATCATCCCTCTTTCTTAAAATACCTTCTTGACCTCTTTGAAACCAGTGTCCTTGTTTTCTCCCACATCAATAAGCACAATTATTAGTCTCCTCTTGTGTGCTAGAGAGTCTGAAATAAATGCTATGAAAATCCAGAGCCTGCCACATCAATTGAGTTTGTGGCTGTCTATTGGTCTGATGCATATAGAGAGATTACTGTAAGGCAAAGAACAGGTTGTTGATGAAAAGACTCATCCTTTGGTGGCAGTGCCTGTGTAACTTCCACTCATCAGGGTGTCTTTAAAAGGAATGGGTCAAGTTCAACTTGCACTGTTAATAAACACTCACATAGAGCAAAGGCCATTAGACTGCAGAGTTCCAGCACAGCATGAGCTTTTATGTAAAAGCAATAGACCTCTTAATATTCTGTTTTATAAATGAAGAGCTGACAGACCCTTAACTGTAATGGCACCAGCAGACCCAGCTATAATGACTATACATGTGCATAACATAAATTAGGACTTTACAGATCAGTAAGGACTCTGGGAATCTTAATTCCTGAAAGCCAGCACTAGGTGGAGACAGTGATTCGTGCAATGCTTACCCATTGAGAACTTATTTCTATTTAATATTTTCCATTCTTCTTCAGTGCAGAAAATGGTGCTGTTTAACAACTGATATTTTTAATAGAAACATCTTATAAAACAAAATATTTCATATATTAGAAGGACTTACTTGGTAGTCAAATAAGGTTCTAAAGCAAGTTTATTTATTTAAAATAATGTCTTTATAAGCACTGCTTTACTATTAAAGGTAACATCCTATTTATGATACTTCATGAGTATCAACCCCCTGGAAGGAGTATAAAATTAAAAACCTCCTCCTAGATATATCTAAACCTAAATGATAAAAAAAATTAAGATAATTCTTCAATATTTTGGCTGACAGGCAGATACACATTCTCCCTTAAAAACAAAGTCCAGAATTGCTCCTGTCAATTTCAGTCTGATTAATGGAGTCATGGATCCATTAGAGTGCTCTGTTCAATTAATCTTATAAAGAAATGGATGGGAAACAAAACACTTTAGATCGCGTTTTTTGGATTCCAGTGCCTTTGATGGGACTTTTGACAGACTGTGAGAAATTGTGCGAGACTGCTCGCACTGTGACAGAAAAATGTTATTTTTGCAGACTTAGAAATAAATAATAAAATAAAAACAAATCTAAATGTGTGCCAGTGGAAGAGAGATAGTCTTTTTATGTAGTATATCAGGAGGTCATAATTACATTGTTTTGAAGAGGGAAATAAACATAGTATTAAAGTATAATATAATATATAACTTAGGTCTGATATAATAATAAATTATAAATATTCTGCCAAATTCAAACTTAAATCAGCAGTATCTAACATGCATGTAGAAATCAGATTCACATTCCATAGCTGTCAAAGAAACTCTTTCCTTTACACTCTGACCTGTTTATTTAACTGGTTACTTTTTTTTCTTTTTTCCATTCTTTCTTCCTTCCTTTCTTTCTTTCTTTTAAGGCTTTCTGAGCCATAAGATTAGATCACTTAGAATTCATCTATAATTAATTTAAAAGGATATGGTTCCTCAGAAACAGCAAAAACACACTATTCATTCAGAGCAATAAGACATATTTATTTTGATATAAATCAGTTTATAAGACTAACTTTAAGTACTTCATCTCTGAAAAGAAAAGGATAGAGAAAAGAATGGGCCAAATTATAAAAATAACAATTATATGAAAACTATCTACTTCAATGGGATTGAATAATAGCCCAAGAAGTTCCCATGGATTTGAACTGTTTTGAAGCTTTCCAAAGGTCTAGCCCAAATCAGGAACTACCCACACAAGCTAATCTTAGACATTATAGAAGGGTTAAAATATTAGCTACATAGCTAGAATCCGGATCCATCAGGTATCCTCTACTCTTTTACCAATAGCACACCACTGTATGAAATGTGTTAGTTACATTTATTTTGCAAGTTACACTGAATAGAAAAAAATATATAACATTGTATGTAAATAATTATTTTTAAGAGTTAAACCTTTGCTCTCACCAGGTAGCTCAGTTGGTTAGAGCATAGTACTGATACACCAAGGTTGCAGGTTCGGTCCCTGGTCATGGCACATACAACAATCAACCAATGACTGCATAAATAAATGGAACAACAAATGGACATTTCTTTCTCTCTCTGCTCCCCCCCTCCTCTCTCTCTCAAATTAGTAAATAAAAAATAAATAAAAAGGCTGTTCCTTAAAAAAAATGATTTATACCTTAAATAACTTTACCCTGACAGAAACAAGGCACTGAAGACTGGAGTGTTATTCCTTTACAAGCCCAAATTCACAAAGATCAAGTACCTTTTGCATACCAAATAGCTTATTCCTGGGATATTTTTATTCCTGGGATATTTTGTATCCATAAATACACTTGCAATTTGTTCTTCTGTCTTATATTTTCCC